AATTACAAATTTAAGTTTTATGTACGGTAGGTACTGGTAGTGCCGAATATGTACCCACTACTCAATACACTATACATAGAACAGACAGTAATAACTACTTACTACACCAGTTTCATTACTGCGGAATGATCACTATTGAAGTCTAATGTTAACACTAAAAGCATACGCTTCGACAATAAACCGTATGATTATCTAGAAGTTTACATACATTTTCGTTTTTAAATAGTATTTAGGCTTTGTGTATTACTTCTTATTTTATTAAACTTTTCACTTTTGTATTGACTGTGTAAAAAAAATACGATTAATGTGTTTATAAAAAACTACCTAGGTGTAGCCTATCTTTTGATGTATTAATATTAATATTATTAATACTATACTATGGTAGGTATTTTAGAAAGAAAACTCGATACAAGGTCGAGATACATAAATAGTTCTCGGTAAAGACACTTGTGGTTAGACGAAATATTAAAACGTTTTAGCACAGATAAAATACAATTTAATTAATAGTATTTTTTAATCTGTGGTTTTAGCATTGGCTAATATATCGATGGTGACATGGCAAAAGGGTCTAAGCGACATATTTTATAGTTTTCAGGATGGCCACTAAACGTTCTTTTTGTGATTTTACTATTTTTTTTTTTAAGTTCCCTATAACTTTTTTTGTAAGAATTGGGAATTTTTCAATCATATAATTATATATTATATATATATTATGTATTATATATTATTCATATATATATTATATTATAATATATATATATGAATTATAATATATTTTTCTAACCAATAGTATAAGCGGTGTCGCTTAGACCCTTTTGCCGTGTCACCATCGATATATGTTTATAAGTTTTTAACGAATAACGTTATTTGATGACCTATCAAAAAATGCAAGACTCGACATTTTTACATACCGTTAGTGTGAATCGCATTAGTATTGGACCTCTGCATATCGATGATAGAAATATTGTTCTATAGATAATTTAAAACCAATTTTATTGGGTATCCTCTATCATTGGACCTTAGTTAAAAATTATTTATCAACAAAATCAACCGAAAAATCTAAATAAACGGTACTAATTATTTTCTACTGATTCGGTGATTTATCACTTACACCCATAGAGATGCTAAAAACCACTGTTTTACCTCCTTTGCATAATCGTATCCCTTTGTAGCTTATATTTGACGGTTTGAGATTACCTTAGGATAGTAGGTACTAATTAACACCTACTGACGCGGTTATTGAACTGATGCTGATCGGTGATAATAACATATTTATAATGCTATAGTTTACACAATATTTTAATACGTAGGATTTTTGCTGTACAAATGTAGTGCATAATTATCGTGAGCGTGGTCGTATAATTGTATTCTTTACGGACGGAGGAAGGCGTGTAGATTGTAGTAGAATGTTCTAAAATTGTATGGACTGAAAAACAAAAAGAGGCCTACAAACCAAAATAAATAACGAACGAGTGGCTAAGAAATTTAATTTTTATGAATGCCAGAAATGTAGGACGGTTTTGTAACAAACAAAAATCGTGTAAATTAGTTGAAAACAACGTTATAACTTTAATAGAATTGCTATGTACCAGTTTGCATACTTAAAACAATCATTCATCATTCTGTATATTATAATGGATGTGATAATAGCGTAAGTTTTATAGATAGAGATTTTGTACGGTAAGAAAAAATTCCTATTTTCATCTTCAATAAGCTGCGATTTTTGCCAATTGAAATCCTGTGATGCCTTCGACAATCAGCAGCAGATTATTGCTCAAGATAAATTAATTTTAATTAAAGTAATTCAAACCATCGGTTGTGCATCATTTTTGTCCTAAACTAACATGCTACCTGGCTGGGCCTTACATGTCAGGGGTTTGAGTGTGGTTCTTGGTTAACAATTTCAGTAATTATGGTCGGAGTCGAAACGTGACCACCTCGTGCGCCAAAACACATTATGTTTCTGACCGATCGACCAACTGCGACTTCACTAATTCAATAAGCGTAACGAGTATGGAAAAACTATAATAATTACCAACAGAAAGACACCATTCGACTTAGACCATTACTACAGTAATACGTCTTAACGGCTGACAACGAGCAAAATCTGCCAGCGCCTCTTCTATTGTTCTCCTTGTTTTTTTTTACTGGATTTTCTACGAACGAATTCGGCATGAACGTGTGTAGTTTTTAAATGCAAAAAACGTAGTATATAACACGCGGGTCCACACCCAAACTACCGCGTAATGGTCACTATCGCCTTTAACCGGTCGCAACATCTTTTCCAGCAATAACTACAAAGGTAACGTGACTGGATTTATTTTCATTTATTTTTATTTTCCAATTCCTTAACCAAGTCTCACAAATGTGCACAAGACATCCGAGTATTACAGAATAGTGTAGTTGTATATATTATAAAATGGTAGATCATAATTTATTGTCATATTATCCGTAAGCATTTTTTTTCAAAGCGCTCACTCGATAAATTGGTACTCCTATCTTATCAAATCCGTTTTAGTAATACTGGGACTCTAATTGAAATTTCCTGTTCTCGGCGTTCCAGCAGTTTAAATTGGTGAATTAAACGTCAGTTAAAAAAATAAAAGAGGGGACTGATAAATAATTTGAACGTAAGCAGTTACAGCTTACAAGCAAAATAATTTTAGATTTGTTTAAACGAAAATGTATTATATGCCACACGGAACACATGATGCCATACAATACAAATTATAACCGTAAATTCAAAATTAATTATTTTTGACACGTCGCTCGGTAAATAACAATGAATAATACAATATGCCATGTTAAAACTGTTTTCCTCTAAAATATAATCATTTATAATACGATCACTTTGATTCAATTTTCACTTTTCAATTAATCTAAAAACAAAGAATATACACATATATACCTTGTTGGATAATAGAATAGTTTGTATCGTTCAGTTATTATTACAATTTTTAAAGGGATTGAAAGCGGTCGGTTATTTGGACGTTTTATACCTAAAATGTCCGACAAATTACGCTTAATGGCTACTCGGAATGGTCCGATTTCCATTCTGTACAAATATTTGAGTTTATCGGCCTCTTTTCTAGGTTATTGTGGGAATTGCTTTTTGATACTTCAACTAAAACTCTGTTTATGTTTATTAATATTTACTTCCACAATAACCTGAGAAAAAGGTCGATGAGGTTAAATATTTTTACAGAACTAAAATCCTATCATTCTAAGTAGGCATAATTTTAAGCTTTTAGGTCTAAATTGATTTTTTGTGAGAACAAAATGGCTTTTACTCGTAGAAAATATTGTATATGTTAAAAAATTATACCCTGAAGCTTATACAAATTATCCTAAAAATATATTGGCGTGGTCGAAATTTATTAAAACCCCTTTTTTCTTAAATATTGCCTATATAAAACCCCTTAAAACCAGATTTTAATCTCCTTAACAATATTTGTAAATATAATAAAGTTATATAAATTACAAAAATCATATAAAACTATTCGTTTATTGTTTGTAATGTGTTTAGCTTCTCTATTGGAAGCTACAATAGTTAAATTTGGTCTATAAAGTTTGTTATAAGGGATAATATTAGCTATCCCCACAATGACCGTGTATATGAATAGTTATTATTAATAACAGGAAATTTATATTATAATTTGTTTAAATATTTTATATGTAATATATATATACATTTAAGCTGTAAGCACAGTTCTCAAAATAAGATAACAACGAATATAAGTTTATATATCGCCCATGTATTTCATAAGATATACAAGCAGTGGCGTACATAGGGGAGGGTTTTTTGGGTTCAACCCCCCCCCCCCCGAAATTTGTGGTTGGTACGGCATATGTGCGACTTCGTTTAATCAAAGTTAATTTATAATATTAATTAAATCTATTCTTATTTTATAACCACCCCCCAAAAAAATTATATCCTATATACGCCACTGCATACAAGTCAAGAACTAAACAAACTATTTGAAAAATAGTTATATTAGAGAATTGTTTACCCGATTCTCACCGTCGTGATAGCTAAAAACAGATATTTTTTTACTTGTGTTACATTACAAACACATACGCAAAAAAGTCTATGTTTATTAATAGGAAATAATGAGGAAGTCGTGAAACAAGTGCATAATTATCGGTCATTGACTAGTTAGTTTTCCGCCTGAGTAATTAATATATTAATAATTCGTACAAAACTAGTTAATTTTTTTTATTATTAATTTTTTAGCGCAAGTAAAAGTAATTTATGTAACATAATATATTACTTGCTAACTCATAGGTATACGACTGAAGCCAATAGGCGTGCGATTAAGTGGGATCAGTAGGGGTAAAAAATTTCTGGTACCAATTTTCCCTAAAGTCGTCATAAGCGTAATGGATGTGATGAAAACTCAAGCCACGTTAAACCGTTGCATAGAACTGACCTACTTAAAACGGTCGGACCCTAGTAAAATTGCACGCTTTCGGTGCTTACACGAACAACGGCTCGTGTCATAGGCACGAGTCGTTGTTGTACTGTAGCCCGTATAGAGATCCTATATGAGCTCTAACGTTGGGAACAATGTAGGACAGTATTAAGTTTGTTTTTGGGAACAAAATCGATTCCGGCAACAGAATATTATGTTATTACTGTATATTACCGTGTCACTCTCTCTCTTGTACGACAACGGCACTGCTGTTACCGCAAAAACCAACGTATTGCCATTGCAGTTACAATTATTTATATATATATATATTGTTTTTCCAATAATCTCCTCGTTTAATGCGTATTAAAACTGCGAGGGTCGACAACCCCCACACACGCACACGTCAAATTCCACGACGTGGTTGCGCCTGACTCGCTTGGACGGCGCATGCTCTTTGCCCGTCAACGCCGCAGTGCTCGTTTGTTGTCATAATCGGACCGAAACGAGGCGTCGCGACATTCGCCTCGGCGCTTTTATTTGCGTTTTGTTTTTTTTTTTATTTTTTAACTCAGTGTTTTTTAGCCGTATTTTTTTTTTTTTGCTTATAATCGAGCGGGCCGTTTTTTGTATTATTTTTACCGTTCGGTCAAAACGGTCATTCGCAAATAATATGACGTGAAAAGTACCCGACCGGTCGCGCGTCGTTCTTGTGCACTGCGCGACTAAACTCACCGTCTACCTCGAAGGCGTCCTACCCTTGTCGTCGGCTATGACTGCGGTGAAACTGAAAACGCCATTATAACGTCAAGTGAGTACCGTACGCGCGCGGTTAAGTCGTGGTAATCGTTCACGATCGCCGTCGTACTCGTTTTGCCTGTATGCCCCCGTGCCGCTGCGAACTGGACGCGCGAGCTACTAGGAATTCCCGGCCAATTCCCTAAAAAAAAAAAAAAAAAAAAAATGTTCACAATCACAACCGCGGCAAAATAATTTATTTTCAATTTTTCACAAATCGATATCATGCGACAGCGTGTAACAAGTCCATCACGTTAGTCCGCGTGGGGCGTAGGTACATGTTAAATTGGCGGCGACGGCGAGAAGCGTAGGAATGCTCTGGCCCTCGTGTAGGTGTGTATAAGCGAGTAGGACGTCGCGTCGGGGGATCAATACGCGGCTGCGGGATAGACCGTAAAATGACGTAGGGCGCGCGTCCCGTGACGTCACGCGTCTCCCGGTCGTGACCGGGTCACCCGCCAGTGAATAATGATTGACGCAAAACTCCACAGTTTAGTCTGAACCGCACCGTGTGCCCGTCGTCGTCACGTACCGCAGCACGCCGGGTGGCACGCGAAGGCCCAGCGCGGATCTTTTGAACAAATAGATATATAATAATTCGATAAACACGGTGGTAATTTTCGATCTTGGATAGTTAAAAAAAAAAAACACCCAAACAAATGTTCCGCCCTGACCGTGTATGTCATCTGGCCGTGACTCTACCGCCGGTTAGGTGTTAACGTTTGACATGCCGCCCGTGTTGCAGACGAGACCCGGTGGCGTGCCGGTCCGGGGCCATGGATAGAGCCGATCGCTTAGCCCGGAGCCTGGAGTTGGAGAAGGTGTACGTTCACGACGCGTACCAGGAGATGTACCAGCCGATGGCGCACAAGACAAAACCGTGGCCGAAAGTCACGCAGTTCCTACACGACCTGGAGCCCGGCTCGCTCGTATGCGATATCGGTGAGTAGTTGTTGTTATTAGATTTTATCATACGCTAATAAATGCAAAACCAAAAAAAAAAAAAACGAATCTAAGTGCGGTTAAAGCCAAAACGGTTTTTATACCCGTGCAACGACCAGTCGCATTTGTATCCATAAGGTTATCAAAGATGGTTTGAAAACAATTAAACCACTGTTTTTTCATAAAAATAAGTATCGACAAATTACGGTACATCGATGGCATAGTGCACAGGCATCATTTTTATTTTTTAATTGCACGAGATAAACGTTTAGAAATGTATAATGGATGGAATTTATTAAACTCTTTATGTTATTTATAGATCCAAATTTAAATATCTGACTTCTAATATGTGTTTTGTGTGCACAATGTGAAGAGGCTGTTAAGGATACCTATACTGTCTATTAGATAAAACTTCAATTCTTAAAAAAAATACACTTATCACATCTGTACACTAGGTTATTTACGTTAACTTGATAAAAAACACAAAATTCTATTTCTAATAAAATAATATTTTTTTTTACAAAATTATTAATTTGTACTAACAAACTGTCATTAAAAAAATCAATTCACCGTTCGTTAAGTTGTAGGTACGTACAAACGATTGCTTCAACGATTCATTTATCTCTTAGTTGAATTTAGTTTACTCCCCTAGAAGTTTTGGTTCTATGTATTTAATGTAACATATGCACGTGGACTAACCGAAACAATTTTGAACTCAATCGGATTTATTAATCATACCGAAATATTATAACATATTTAAATAACGTTTTGCGTCATAATATTAGATATTTGATAAACATTAAACATATTATAATATAATGCTATAGACAAAACAATTTTGTCTTGATATGGATTACATTTACATGAAAACAAAAAACTTATTGACAGTATTTCGTCAGGACCTCGGAACTTTGACTCCGCGGTTAAAAAAACTACACGTTCTAAAAATGTACATATAATACTGGTTAAGATTTCGATAACCACTAAAAAAACTAACAATATTATATTTAAATAATATTTAGGTTGTGGTACTGGCAAATACTTGTCCACTAACCCGCACGTGTTCAAAGTGGGGGTCGATCGGTGTACGAGGCTTACTGAAATAGCAAGAAGCCAAGACAGCGAGGTAAGTTTTGTCGAATTGTCAAGATTTAAAGAATCGGACACAATCAAATGCTGAATAACACAATTACAATAATATGTATTATCGTTAATAATTCAGGTGTTGGTATGTGACAACCTGACATTACCCTTCAAAGATTGTAGTTTGGATGCCGTTTTGTCTATTGCCGTAATCCATCATTTTTCTACGGCCGAGAGAAGAGTGTGTGCTATTCGGGAACTAGCCAGGGTATTGAGGATCGGTGGTCGAATTATAATCACCGTCTGGGCCATGGAACGCCGTCATCGAAAAGTAATTTCATTCTTCTTGACCGCGAAAAAACATTTTTTTAAATAACCAATTGTAAAACTGTTCACATTTACAGTTTCAATCCCAAGACGTACTCATGCCATGGCACAAGCCCTGTAGAAATATTGACAGCGAGTCGACGGAATTTTCCACTACTGCCACTACTTCGGACGACGAGTATACGAGCGTTAGGAAGAAATCTAATTCAGAATCAATGGCGTAAGCGCAGGGGATTTTTGTTTAAACCATTGAATCGCTTTTTAATAACGAATGTTATGGCTATTCACAGAAGTTCAAAGCTGTGTTGCGAAGGGAAAAGCAGACGTAGAGAACAATCGGATTACAAAAGAGGAATCGCAAGCTCACCGAGTAGTTCTAGTTTATCGAGCCCGGCTAACGAGACTTGCTACAGCTTCGTCCGGAAAGCAATACAGGTTTTTTCAATACGAATAAATAATAATTGTTGTAGTATAAATTATGTTTTAATTGCTATTATCAAACAATGTTCGGTGCGAAGATTGCACCATTTATCGTCGTCTCGTTTTGTTACAGAAGCTTGCCGGTTCCAGCAAGAGGGGCAAAGTTACATCGAAACCGTGGTTCATGAATTCCTGGTCGTCGATTTACGGAAATGAATCGCTGCCGGTTTTCCGCTCGGATCCGGAAGGGTGTGAGACGTGCAGCGAAGACGTACAGCACGTTCCTATCGAGCTTAGGCGTATGGAAGAATCGCCGGACCCGATCGCGCTGTATAAAAGGTCACCCGCTCAAAAGTCCAAGAGTTTGGACGATATCGCAAACATTACAGGAAGCCGTATGGTCCGGTCGAAATCGAGCATACCGGAACTGGAGACATCGGTTCCGTCCACCCTGTGCAAACCCAAACTTGTGAAACAAAAACAGTCGTTGTGCGACGAGGACGCCGAAGAAGACAGGGACAAAGCGACTGACATGAAAGACTTGGTGAAAAAATTACCACAATTCGACGTAGGGAGTGGCTCGAAAAGGTATAGGTATAAGAGTAACGAGATCAAACAGCGGTCGATGAACGAAGAACTGATGTCCGTGGAGAGACTCAAGGAAAAGGAAATCGTGCAGAAAAATATCCAGAGGCAGGCTTCGTTGAACGAAGAGCTCATGTACAAGACTAGCACGTTGGAATCAATCAAGGACACGTTACAATTGCTCAAAACGGGATTCACGAAGACGTTCAAGAATCCGTCTAGCCAGGTATCCGGCAACATCAAAAGCGGAATCAGTAGAATATTGGGGTATAAAGAGGGTGGCGACGAGAAGGTTAGCGGAGAAAAGAAAATCGTGCCACCCGTGCCCGCTTTGGTTTCGACCACGTGTTGTGACGGACGGAGGAGTTCTCGCGAAGACGGCTCCTCGGAAGACTCGTCCAAAGACAGTTTGCAGAGCGACGCCAGTGTAGATTCAGAAGACAGTCTCAGTAGTTTGGCGTCGGTAATTTTTGTAAACGCTTCCGGAGGATCCGACAAGACGTGTTCGCCGCCTTTGGTCGACCAACAAGCTCGAACCGCTCCGTGCACCCCAACGGCTAAGTCGCAAAACCAGTACAGGTCATCGTCACACCCGAACACGCCGAAAACCGCTCTGGTTCATCCTTCTCATTTCAGACTGCCGTCGCGGTTTAACTCCCAGAACGGCAACGAACCGTGCCATCTGAACTTGTCGTCCGACACCACCACCGAAGACGTTCTGCAACCTATAAAACTGTCTCCCGTCAAGACGGCCATCGAGATGAAACTAAAAAGAGAACAGGAAAAAGAACAAGAAATTGAGCGCCGGGATCACGTTTGCGAGGGAGGTGACAGAGACGCGCGGCCCACAGAAAGAATCAGCGCTGAGAGGTTAAAGCAAATCCAAGACCTTCTGCTAAACAAAAGACCAAGTACGTGATTACTCAAGTTTTATTATAGTTAGAAATTAAAATAAAGACATAATAAAGTATAGAGTTTCCCATTAGCGAGAGTACCGACAATTTAGTTAAATCTATGTCCTCTACTGACTACCCTGACTACCCTATGAAGCGGACTATTTAAGGTCATCACCGTCTCTTCCATAAAGAAGCTTTCTTGACGTAATCGATTATTGCAGTCAGCGCTTTATGTTCCCTGCTAAATGTATTACATTCAAGTATTCAACTGTATTTCTTTTAATTCTCATAAGTACATCATGACCAGTTTTATCTCCGCTTGTACCTTACTAATTATTAGATACCTTATGTGTACATCAAATTCAATTATTTTCTTTTAAAATATAATAAAAACGTTTACAATTATTAATAATCTGTCATTGTTGGTGTGTTTTTAGTAAGCGGACGAAATCGGTTGCCCAAAGCTGATCGGACATTTTCGGGATTGCGAGGAAGGCATTTTATAAAAGCCGTAGAAGAAACGTTCCATCCGGAAATCGACGACATGGACAGCGACGCCGAGTCAACGTCATCCGATTCTGCTAGTAGCGTTATTAGCGTGGTAACCGAAGAAGAGCTTAAGACCACGACTACCACAAGTGAGTTTACTCGTAGTATGCACGCGTGTTGAACCCGTTTTTAAACTTAACATTGTTTAGCAGACAAACAAGGTACTCAAGTTGAAGTGGCTGTTGAAATAACCGTGGCACTGCCGTGTGAGGAATCTGTTGAACCGGAAACTGCAGCGGTGGAATCGGCGGAAACGGTACAAAAACTTCCTTTGAAATGCATCGTCAACTCGGATGAAAATCTTCCTCAGGAGACGCCTGCCATCCAAGGAGAACGTCCTAATCGCACGAACAGATGGAGTCTCCAAGAGAATCCGATCAAAAGCACTCCTGTTCGAAGCAGTCAGAGCTTAGGTTCTATTCCGAAACCCAAGAGGACCAGTAAAAGCTCTAAGGACGAATTGTCGGATCTACCGGAAACGTGGGACGAAGAGTGTCAAAAGCATTTAGCCGATTTCGCCGAAAGGTAAGATAAATGTATAATTGTTGAATTATTTTACCTCTCTACCAGAAAAAATGTTTCCCTATGGAAATGGTTAAATATAATTAAAGTTTAGAATTTAATTTATTTTTTTATAATTATGCTTCATCAAAAAAATGTTCATTTTTTCATGTAAATCCGATTTTATCAATATAGTTTTAGTTCATTCGGCACTAATATTACTAATGCCAAAGAACCGTTGACTTCTTTTTGACGGCAAAAACGCTCGGAACCGGTTGCAATGAAACGTTATTTTATGCCCGAATTAAAAGAAAAGTATATCCCATCACTGTAAAATCAAACCCTTCTCAGCTTTGCATCCAAATTAAAAAAGCAAATTCCAATGTCCTTTTTGCATAATATTATTATTAGTATAATAGTACAATACTAATAGTAGTAATACCTTAGTATAATATACTCAATAAAACACCACAATAAAATATCAAGAAACAAATTAAGAAGACTCCTATAATATGGCTAATGTTTGTTCTTATGACTAATTATTTATAACGAAAAGTACAATATCATCCACAATTTATGATAGTTCCACAACCGTTGGCTGAACATTTGATAAAATGTTATCATTTTTATATTAAGACTTTTTAACAGAAAAATTAATTTGCGTTATTTTTAACCAGATAACTTATTTGATCATTTTTTTAAAGTAACTTTAAAATTAACTTATTTGGATTTTATGTAAACTAAATAAAAAAAAAAGTTATTTTTCCCAACCAACAAATTGTTATCACATTATAATAAAAATAATTTTTACACTTTAACAACTTGCCGATAAAAATATACCAAAAACAAATCGGAGCCCAAAACGATTTTCTTGTTGGTTTTAGGTTAAACAAAAAATTGCGTGCCGAAATCGACGTGGAGCCCAAACTGAGTGACAAGAAACTGTTGCAAGAGGACGACATGCCGTGCATACCGGAAATCGTGACTACCCCGGAACCTTGTGACTCGGATCAGCTGTCTTCACACCCAACGGAAGACCAGCTGTCGGAACCGTCGTCCGAAGGGCAACCGGAAGACGACACGACCGACTACCACCGCATCGAAATACTGGCCGGGTCGGACGTGCCCCGGCGGCCAAGCATATCGATCGAGACACAGGATTCGGTGGACAAGGTGCTGAGGAGCCGAGAGGGTTTTCGGTCGCGGCACTACCGCATGTCCGTGGACTCGGTCGAGGAGGGCCGACATGCGTCTCTCGAACTGGAATGCGACTCAAGGCGCGACACGGTGTCCAGTAGCCAGGCGTCACTGTTGCGACCGGGCAACTCGCTAGAGTCTAGCGACACAGCCGATACTCACACGGCAGACACGCATACAACTACGCAGAGCATGACGTCGCTGACGTCGTGGAGCGATTGCAGCAAGGACACGAGGTTCGCGGACAGGCGGCAGGCGCGGTGCGACGGCCGATCGTCGTCCGAGGACACGGACCCGCGTCGCACAGCCGTGTTGGTTCGGCAGCACGCGGCCGTCGAGCCTCAAGAGATGCTCAAGAGTGACGACACCAGCCTGTCCACGTCTCAGGAATCTCTGTCTGAGAACAACGGCGGTTCGATCACGTTCCACAGGTACTACCATGTTTTCAGAGAAGGCGAACTCGACCAGCTGATCGAAAAACACGCGGACAACCTGCACATCATATCGTCCTACTACGACCAGTCCAACTGGTGCGTGATAGCCGAAAAAGTTCAAGTGTGGACCATTTGAGAGCTTACCGAACGCGTGACGCTTTCGGGTAAGTCGGATACAAAACCGAGAACAGTGTGCGCTGACCGTCGATACCAGCCTACTTTTTCCAAAACCATAAGAATTTAACGTTTATAATAAATAATGCGCATAGTGCCAAAACAGCTTAACCCACAAGAAATAAAATTCTGTTTGATTTAATAGAATGTTTTAGATTGATATGATATTTTAAAACTAATAAGGATTATTCCTCAAGCTAACATTTTCTGATGGATGGCAGTTGTTTTTTTGTTTTAGCATTAACATTTTAATAATTCATTTTACTGTCAAAAAGACTAACCCAGTGTAGTGGGTTAATAAATAGCTTATAACGCATGGACGTATACTCACGAAAGTGTCTTTCTTGTTTTGAAAAAAGTTGAATGAACTAAAATAAAAGTTGAACAACAGTCAAAACTTAATTGTGTATTTCCGATAATTACACTTTTGTGGCTAAAACTGTTTTGGAACTATGCTCCTCGTATTATATTAAATATGCATCTTACTCGCATCCGAGTGATTTTCCACTATAATAATATATGATTTGTGATCTAAATATTTTGTAATTATTAAATATTATGAAAAATATTAGTATTAACTTCATAACGTTATTTGTTGATCTTAAACAAAATGAAATATTAAGTATTCGTATTGATCGTTTAGATCTGAATAGCCTGAAAGACTTTTCTCATTTGTGAAACTATATACTATTTATAATGTTATGTTCATAAAACTGGGTGCTATCTACTTACTTTCCTATTCTTTTTTCTAACTCTTCTACTCTGTGTATTGGATGTAGACTGATACTTAACGAATATATTATCCATTATGTGGTTAACTTTACTGAACATTTTATGTCTTTCTTGACGTATAAGCCATACGCTCAAAAAATAAGTGTCCTATCTCGGTCTAGGATAATAATCTTATTCTAACAATAAAAAAAACTGTAATTTTTTACTAATACATATCAATTTTTTAAAGATACAACATTGAATACATTCGGTCCAGTGTTTTACTCAACTATTGTCTTTAAGTTGTTCTATCTTTACTTACAGTTTATGTAAGTGAAACAAATTGATGTCTCAATTTTCAAACTTTATAGCACTTTTACAACTAAAATACAACTGTTGCATTATGCAACAAGTAACTCGATGACAGCAGTAGATAATACATTTTGGTGGCAGAACATAACAGTACTCTATTCATACTTCTTCCAGTAATCAAAAACATATTTTAATGTGACAAACGTTTTTTTTTTATTTTTCGCATATGGCACATTTGACCGGAAGCAGGTTCCCCTGTGAGACCAATGACCATTGTGGTGAATACTATAATTATATAAATGTTTTAAATGTCAAGCGAAAAGTATTTAGTAGGTTAGTTTTATATTTGAAGTTTAAAATTTCATTAGATTTACATTTCTACTTATCATTAAAACGAATCTATTAAAATTCTTTTTTATAAGTTAATTTATATTATTTTTTTTATAAATTTAAGGCGTCATTCCAACCCTTGAACAATGACTGCACTTCAATCAATATTATTAGGAAATTGTTAATGAAATATTTTAGACAAACACAGTTTAAGAAATTAGGGGAATTAATAAATTATAAGAAATCATAGATAATAATACAACAATACTTCAACAACTCATAATACTAACTATATGGTCATTTTTCATCATGAAATCAAATCTACGATACAATTTTCCTAATAAATAGTATGTACATTGTACAAGTATCATTAACTACCTACTTTGATAAGTTAATATGTTTATATCTTGGATACTCGACATAAGTTTACATAGGACATTCTAGTGATATGTGAATATCGATTGCCAACAAAAAAAGGGAAACGCTCTACACTATTTTTTACTTGCCCTTAATTGTCTTCCAATTTTATTACGTTATAGGTGAATTTTTTTCATTAATTTTTATTGTTTAAAAGCCGTATTCTTTTCAGTTTTATACATCATAACTCATAACAATGTGTGAATTAACTCTTTATCGTAAAATATGTTTTGTAATGTTTTACAACCTAAACTTAATGTTAAATGTTCTCTACTATTGATGAATACTTTTTAGGAATTAAATCTAATAGTTCTCTAAACAAGATATAATATACTGCCATTAACATATAATTGTTTTTAACTATTAAATAGTTTTTAAGGTAAATATATTATAAACTTATGATAGAATAATATTATTATGAATGCTATTGTGTTAAGCACTAATGAATATTTATAACTTATAAGTAATGATTACGATTCAAAGTAATTAAAATTGTATGAGAATAAAAGCATTATTTGCATATTGTAGCGAGTAAGTAATTTCTTTACAAACAATTACATAACGTTCATTAAATTCTTTAATAAGTATTTTGGAACTCATATTTATAATTTTGAACTTTTTCAGACCTATAACGGAATAATTTATGTATTTGATTATTTTAATTTAATTTGTATTGAATTAAATTCAGTTGTTTCATTAAAAAAGTGTTTTATTTGCTGTAAAACACATATTATAAAATATCTATTAATTCGTTTTAAAAATGTTTTCTTTGTATTTAAAAAAAAAAAAAATTACTATTACCCCCCTATTGTTATTAGAAATTATTATACTTTTTATTATTACTCATATTTTATTATCATTGTTATTATTATTATTATTTATTATTATCATTATGTGTATGTGAACGAATTATACCTTTGGACTGTGTTTACCTACTTAAAATCTTTTGTTATATTAAAATAGTACGTACAGTTTTTATTAAACTTTTACAAAAACAAATAGCGACATCTAATATTTTATTTAAAATGTATTATAGCAATATTCATGCGCGTCACATCATGTATTTAGAACTAGGCTCACTAAGGCGGCATAAATTTTGAAAAAATTACAACTTTCAGATTTTTCCCTTTAGTTACACTATAAGACCTACCTTTGTGTCGAATTTCACGTGAAATTTTACGGGAAGTGTTTTATAATTTTGATGATGAGTGAGTCAGTCAGTAAAAAAAAATGATAACTTTGAAATTCTTTCCTTTTAAAAAGGCTTACTATTAAGTGCTCAATTTTTTACTTCTACTATTAAGCTACTTGAGCTTAATCTATTTTTCAAATTTCAAAAGCTTATCTTATAAGGAAACCGAGCTATGTGGGTTAGAAAAACTGGGTGAATTGGTTTGTGTAAAGATACACTGGCATTGCTAGAACTTGGCCTGGCCCACTGCCGTGCGCTCAGATATTAAGAGGTCAGTCAGTCGGTGTGAAGTGAATATAGTACTATGGAAGAAACTGCAAAGTATTGCATTTTTTATGGGATAAAAACAGGGTCATATTTCCTATGAAGCAAAATAGGCACATTCCTATGGCCTCCATATAAATGGGTCTCACTTCAATTACACACACTTTATAGCAAATATGTTATTTGTTAAATATACATAGAAAAAAATGTATTTACGTAATAAACTAAAACGAATATATTTTTAAAAATATATTATTTAAAATATATAGGTTGCAGTTTTCCTTATTTTATACCTAACAATATAATAAAAATTCATTTTTTTTTTTACTGAATAAAATGTATGACTTTGATAGCCAAAACAATAATAGGTGTACAATGTACATAATACTACAATAGGTGTAATAGTAATTTAAAAATAATTAATAATAATCATAATAATAATTTCAATTTATAATATATATATATCGCACCCCCGCTTAAAAAGTGAAGCAACTGAAAAAACATGATTTTCAAGGTTATTATACCTTATTTTAAATAAATATCCACCCATTTTTAAGGAGTAAAGTATTGGCAATTTTTCACAAAATCTTAATTTAAAGGTTAAACTGTGGTGTGTAATTATTAGTTCAATAACTAGGACTCTATTTTGGTAGTTAATTTATTTTTTGGACTATCACAGTATCCTTGAAAGCGATTTAAAATTGTTTTTTCAGCTCTACATGCTTAAGCAAACTGAAAATAACTCGCTTAATTTTTGTTTTAGTGTAAAAGCACCCATTGTAAAATTAAAAGAAAACAATATTCCGGAGGGCAAGACGGTTTTCATTATTCCAAGTATAACGCTCAATACATAGTTTAGAAATAACGACTATTTTAACATTTTTAAATGACTGTAAATTTTCAAAAAATGATTTATTTTTAAAAAACGCACCGTCTTGCCCCCTGGAATATTGTTCTCTTTTAATTTTATAATGTGTGCTTTTACTCTAAAACCAAAATTAAGCGAGTTATTTTTAGTTGGTGTAAACATGTTTTTACCACTGCAAATCACCAATGCGACATCCTCTTAAGCGGTGGTGCGATATATTAATATTATAAGTATATTATAATTTTTTTTTATTAAATTAACACCCGAAGGCATACCGGATAAGGTACAGTTTGCTATGTATAAGCAATGTAATTAATAAAAAATAAAAACTTCCAATACATAAATTAATCGGGAACGCCAATTTAAAATAAAAAATAAAGTACAAATCATAAAAATCTATAAATATTAGACAGTTAGAATGTTACCTTTGGTAATATTACTAGCTATGTGAAAAATAATATTACTATTAATATTATTACACGAGGCTTGTGTCCTGTTTATGGAGTGAACTGTCGGATGATTTCTAAAGTTATAGGAAGGAACAATAGCTGTATTAATTAGGCGAAATAGAAAATAATTATAAAAATGTACAAATGTTTTTAAATACGCTTTCTGTAGTTGCTATGTGCGTTTTAAAAAATTCGGGGTTGAAATTTTAAATGTGAAAGTAGTTTTATAAAACAGCTGTGATGGTAAAATATAATAGTAAACAGAGAAAACAATGTTGGGGGGAGGTTATTAATTTATGGGAAGAAGCCCCCAAAGATGTTTTGCCTTATGGTTCAAGTGTTCAACATGTCTTAATCAGGATCTGCATAACAAACGACAATACTGATTACTGTCTATTGAGTACCTATTGCCGATTGCGACTTGTGATTTGTGAGTTTAAACAGCTGTAAAGCAAAATATTTTTCATTTTGCTTATCATTTCATAGTGATTATCAGGTGACGGTACACGTCTTGAAATTCAGAAGTTTAATATACACCGTAATGGCTGCACTGTAATCAGTCAATTTTGAACTAGCCGTCCTTAATAAAAAAAAAAACAGGTTATCATTGCTAAATTGCTTCTCCCGTCAAGTTTCATTTGAGAGTTGCGATTGTCATCAATTGCGTGTTTTCTAGTAAAACCTAATAGTGATGTTCGTCTCTTTACGTTTATTTCTTTCTTAATTTTTATATTGGTTCCAATAATTTTTAAATTTTTATTTTCCACAGTTACTAAGTATTATTTATTATATCTTGATTGCCATACGTATATCAACATTTGCAGCCACTTATATTCACACTTCACTGTAAACTTAGTACCTATGTAAGTTAAAACTTAAAAGCGTGTGGATTGAGTAATGTCCGTTTATTTATCGAAACGATTTGCTGATATTTTTTAGAGTTATCAGTCATGGCTGAAGGAGACGAGAGCGACAGAAGACCAAAGGGAGTCGCAGCTTTAAAGCAACATGTCGTCTCACACAAAGTGGAAGTTACGTTATGGGCTACCAGGCTAGCTGCAATTGTTTTTACTTTTGCTTACATTCTACCTCTTTTCTGGTAAGTCCAACTGCATTTTTTGACTACACTTTGTTATTAAATATATCTTACTAATTAAATAATTGGCCAAGTCAAATAATACCATGATTCTTTTCAGTCCGGTGAATAATTCTCATTTTTATACTTAATTTCACAAGTCATTAGATATCTTTAAACATCTGTATAATATTCCTATTTACTACCTCAATTTTCGGTTGTATAAATGTTGTGGAATATAAATAGATAATTTGATGAATTACCTATACAAACAATTTATTGATATCTATCTATATATATATATATCAACTATATATTATCTATCAATAAATGATAGATAATATATAATTTATTGTCAGTTATGGTTCATATTTTATCAATATTCCTAACTACAAATGCACATCCAGGGAAAATTGTATTATGTTAAAACATACTTGTGTCAAATTTTATATTTTAAATAATAAATGATTGTTAAATATAAATAATATTTAAAACCCTTAACCATAAAAAATTATATACTCTCTGCGTATACAACGTATTTCGGCAACAATGTTGTCATCTTCAGACTTCAGTGTTAACAACAAACTAATAATTTTTAATTTTTTTATTTTTAAATTTAATTTTTCTAAATTTCTAAGCTATCTATATAATTTTTGTTTAAAAATTAAATTGGTATTGAAATATTGCATGATTGTTTAAAAAATGTAGTCCAGAATTAGGTATTAGATTTATTAAATTATAATATTTTTCAAACCAGTGACTAATTCTTCTTGTATTATAAAAAAACTAAATAGGCTGTAAAAAAATGAGAGGTTGGTAAAGTTTTTTTATGACAGCTAAACAAGTTTGATGAGTTGATATGCACTGTGCTGAAAACTTGTTGATTATTAAATTATTCTTCAATGAACCAGAATTGACAATCTATTGATTACATATATAATTACAAATGTGTTTACATTAAATAGGACACCACACCTGCCATAAATTTCAATTTATTCATGGACGGAACATACATTTAATCAATTAATAAATAATGGAACATTTTTATCAGAATCTTAATGTAAATGGTTAAATTTAATTCAAGTAAAAAAAAAACTGAAATTTAAAAAATTAAAAATAATATTTACATTTTAAAGGTATCTAAAAAACGACGACTAACTATATTTAGAAACAATATTTTACACGATACTGTTTCTAAACATATCCAAAATTTCAAAACTTTCCAGCTACTTCAGACAAAAAAGGACAAATAAAATGTTAGATAGTTTTTAAACCTAAAACTTACCCAAGAATTCAAAATTGGCCAATTAACTGATGTCAGTTGTTGTATCATATATTAAATATCAATTATTGGTTCTATTCATCATGTTTTTTCTAATCTTTCTTGGTTTTATATTTGTTTATTAAAGTCCCTATTAAACAATATTTATGATGTTTATAATATAATAATGCCATTAGGTTCTTAACTTGGCCTTTTTTTTTTATTGTATGATAACCAAGAATAACAAGAAAACAATTATTTTACTTAATTATTGACATCTATTTTAAACTTGAAAATAATTTACTGTTCTCAGCGCTTTATTCATAATAGTAGCAAAACAGTAATGCCTGCTGTCAACTCGGATAACATACAACATGCATCTGATGCAAACTGTTAGAAACCTCATGAAATTATTTATTTTATTTCTATATTATTTATAATATAGAAAGGTAAAGGTCTTCACTTTAGTGAAGACCTCATATTATAGTGTGAAATTCAATTATGATTTACTCTGTTTAACCAGTGCATATATTTTTACGAGAGTTTTAATTATTATAATGTTATGTAACTATCATTATATTTATTTCAATGAGTTTTAGGACATGTTACGATATTTTTTGTTATAACGCTAGTATTCTTAATACTAGTACTACTTAATAAAATCTAGGGTAATGTATGTGCCTTTTTCTTGTTAACCGACTAAGAAAGAAGAGAGATTATGTGTTTATGTATTGGAAAATTGTAAAGTAGCTTCTTTTGTGCACAAAAAATAAGAATGTGCATAAATATTCAGTAGACTAGTCTTGTCAAACATGTTATTTTCTGCAAGGTCGTTGTATGTTTTCATATATTTCAATTTTTTTTTTTTATATATATATATACATAATGACCTTAAATATAATTTATAATTACTTACGAGTTATATTATTTCTATATTTTTCACATTAAAGCGGGTAACTATACAATTCCCAGTTAAATATATTAATTATACTTCTATATGCATTATCATTGAGTATATATTGTATACAATATATATTTAACAATTGAGAACTTCAAAATTATGTACATTCAATTAACTATTTACTAACACTGTTTGAACAGATAATATTTTTTTCATTGTAATAGTGAGTGTTATAAGGGAAAACTTTTACCAACTAGTAGTGCATTAAAAAAAAAAGAGGCCCCAAAAGGTTTACCTACCATTAGATACACCCATGTCTGAAAACTGTACTTACGTGGAACAATAAAACTGTACCTAAAATATGCTACATTATATTATTATTTCAAAATAATAGCGAATGATTATTCATTTTATTACGATTCATAATTTATCAATTAAATTCCTGCCATGGCTTTTCGGAGTAAGACTTTTTGTTGTAGAAACGTTTTATATCTTATAAAATTATATTTCCTTTAAATCCTAGAAAAAATATTGTACTAACATTTTATTATTTTATTATTACCCTTGCAGCAAAGAGCATTGGGTTACATTAAACTATATTAACATAAAATACAACACATTTGATTATACATTAGTTAAACATTAGAGTGTGAAACATTTAGTAAAAAAAGGTTAATTTTTATAGATTGTACTAAAATATTGGGCTCTTTATTTCACATTACATTATTATTATTCTTTAGATTGATCTTATCATTTTATTAATCCACTAAATTTATTACAATTTTTTTTGTTTTTCTTATTTGTTGTCCACCACACTATGGCAACTTAAGGGAAACTGTGATAACATAATATCAATTTTTAATTTTAAAACATTAAAATTTATTTGTTGTGACAGTAATTTTTTTTTTAAAACATTTTCGTCCTTGTGTTACAGCTTATAACCATGTAAAGTGTGGCTTATTAATATATTATGATTTATGAGTCATGATATAGTACAAAGATAGTTAATGTACAACAAAAAAGTGTTTTTAATTTGTTGTGTAGGTAACTCGATTACCCAACATCATATGTATTATTTATTAGCCATTATTCATAATACAAATTAGAATTTTATTTATTTTGTTTTTTTTTTATGATTTATCTTCTTTTACTATTCTGTTAAAAAAATATAAAATTAAATTGTGCATACTTTTTTTTTTAGGAATCCAGCTGGAGCATATTATAGAATTTTGTTGGCCAATGCTGCTACAAGTGCATTGCGTCTTCACCAACGTTTACCGACCTTGACAATTTCATTACAGTTTCTTATGCAGTTGTTCAAAGAAGACAGCTGCCACTATTTACTATACTCGCTGATATTTTTATATTCATCGCCTAATATTCGTATCCTTTTATCATGACCATACTATAACAAGATATGTAGTATTATATGTATTAAAAAAAAAAAAAAATGTCTCATTGAAAATAATGTGCTATGATATGAGACCATTATGTAATATGTAATTTAAAGATTCTAAATAACAGAGAACAACCTACAAATTTAGTAACAATGAATATAGAGGAACTTCATTATGTAATTTTTTGCCGGAACCGTGTTATCACATGGTAAGAAATAGTTGAAAAAATGAATTGTATGTGAAAGAGTTATATATTAGACCAAGGGCAAAGGAAACATAAAAATTATGTGAAATTAACATTTTAATGAATATTATGTAATAAATAATATTATTTTGATGAAATTTTATTTAAATAACAATAATATGTTATTTGCTCTCTAATGCATATTTTTAATGCACTAAAAAAAAAAAAATGTTAAATTTTTGTATCTTCTACTATATTTTATCCTTAATTTATGATTTTAGTCATTGTCTTGCCAGTGTTTTTATTCTCGTTAATACACTTTGCTAGTTACTCGCTGACATTGCTCGATGTGAGTAAAAATTTAATTTCTTATGATTTATGAGCATTATTTATTAATTTTATATTTTAAATTTTATGTTTTAGCTACTTGGACAGAACGCATGGTGGGGTGCTCGCCTATTGATTTCATTGGTGGAGTTCCAATCGCGTAGCATCCTACGCCTTATTGCCTTTTCTGAAATACTAGTCATGCCCTTGACATTGATCATGTCATTCTTTGGTCGTTCAGGATTGTTAACAATTGTGGTTTACTATCACTTTTTGACATTACGATATGCATCACAACGTAACCCACACACCAGACTCATGTTTAGTGATCTGAGAGTTGCTGCTGAAAATTTTGCTAACAAACCTGGCACACCAAGTTTCTTGCGATCAGCTGTTCTATCGGGAATTGCTACTATCAGTCGGATGGCTCCAGCAGTACCCCACAGTCAATAACCTGTGACTTAATCAAGTTTTTTTGTATTATTATTGGATTTTAATTGCATTTTTTCATTGATTTGTCTAACACGTGGTTCTGTAGACATAGAATTTGGTTTCCTTTGTAGACATATACCAAACACCATATACATATAGGTTTGGTAATTTTGATGTTTTTTTTTATATAATTATTTTGGTTCCGGTTTTTCTTTTTTGTATTAAAAAATATAATAAATAAATACTATTATTGTTTCCATTTGAAATTATCTTCTTTATTGTGGCATTTTTAGATAAACTGGCTTCTTTATTAAACTTAAAACAATAAATAATTTGTAAAGAATGCAATTTTTTTTAATGTTTTGTTTAACATTTTTCTATTAATTGGCAATCTATAAAAATTATAATAACTGTATGTTTATAACTTATATGTTAAAATGTATTCTCTGTCTACTAATTCTTGATTTTTGTTTTATTATGCTGTACAAATATTGATTCAAAACTAGAAACAAAGTAGTACTGCAACCTTTTAGATAGATATTTTTAAGGACTGTGACTACTGCTGGATACTTATTTTATCTTAATCTTAATTAATAGTTTTAATGAATAAAAATTAAATTATATTATAATTTGTATGTATACTTGTAAACTACTAACATTCAGTATTCATAATTTTACACGTTTGTAATTATATTATAGTGAATATAATTATTAATTTTGAAAATTGAGTGTTTAAAAATAAAATGATTAAACAAAAGCCAATTTATATTTTTAATTGTAGATTGCAAAAAAAATTGATACAAATGACTATTTCCATTATTTTAAGCATTTAAGCTGCTAATTATGAATAATTTTATGTGTAGAACTAATTAATGATGATTTTAAAGTAATGTATTTTCTAAAAAAATTGATATTAGGGTGCAGCAACCACATCTCATATATGACGAATACAACTCTATTGTGTAACTTAAGAATACCTGTCGGTATACCGCCAAGCTGAATGAATTAATGCATTTAGAGATAGCACGTTTTTTTTCTTCAAAAAAGATGGTGTAAATGTCCCCCTTTGTAAGCATTTAAATGATATAAGTAAAAATGCCATTTTCATATCACAATAAAATATTTAAAAAAGCTGTGTATTTTGCTAAATGAATAAACTAAATTTTGTTTATAGTTAAATTATTTAAATTATTACTGCATTGATACAATAAATTATAAGTACTATTATTTCTATTTAAAGTATATTATATTTATTTTAATCTATTTATACTAGTTACAAAAATCATTTTTTTTTTTACAATGCGCAAACATTTGAATAAAACCCTCAATTTATGAAATCACATATTATTATACTTGGTTACGATTTCTCAAAAATTGCCTAACAAAGTTTTGTTTGTTCCCCGAAGTAATATCGTTAACGCAAAGGAAATTTATAATAATTAACTATAATTAGTTGAAGTTTATATTATTTTTGTATTCGTTTTGTGTGCATTTAAGAAAAAATAGTCTCACTTCTTTTTTTTTAATAACAACCCTTGTAATGTTATCTATAGATGAGGCACAGAACAACTTGACAACGAAAAATATTAAGAAGACATGATTACATTTTAGATAGATTGGTAACTTTTTTTAGCATAAAACTATATTATGGGTTTTGTATACCTACCATGTGTAATTTATGCCATTTTATAATAAACAAAAGTTATACTTATAAAACTATAAAAAAATAATGTATTCATTCATCGACTTTCTTGTTAGAACTTGGAATTATACATGAAAACGCCATCATGGAGTCAAAATATTTTTAAACAATACGAAGATTAAGCAGAAAACCTTCATAAATTGCAAATAAAAATTATTAAGATTTCAAGATAACTTTTACTTGATAAATAGCGTTATACATCCATTTGAAAGAAGATCTAAAATATATTATTTGAATTTATCTTATCCAGTTTATTTTGTGTCTATGGTAGTATTATTATCCTTAAATTAATAATAAAAAAATTAGTACATTTCATCAATGGTTCCTACTTTCTACTTGCTAATTTAGAATTCATACAAATTAAAAAGCACAAGTGCATTTTATCACTTGTCAATAGCATTAAACACATATTTTGTGCAACTACATAAAGAATGACAACAGTAAACTTCTTATTTTATCTAATTATACTTAGTTCACTACTAAGTACTACTTAAGATAAAAAGAAAAACTATTAATAATTTAAAACTTTTGAATATAATATAGTTTTTTTTATTTTAATAAGTATAGTTTAATTTTAGTACAAATTGTGTTTAATAATATGAATATATACAGCTATAATTAAACAGCCATTGAAAATATTCTGTTTGTTGTTTACAAATCCGTTGATGTCGGTGGTCTTTTAGGCAATGACTGTGTTGAAGAACGAGATAAATCAAAACTACTCGGCGTAACATTAGAATATACAGATGTGGTATCCGATTCATCTGTATCTGATGAAGAATAAGAATCCATACTCATTAACTCCTGCCTATATAAACTAATAGAATCGTTGAGCTGTCGTAATTGAGATAAAAGTTGCAAATCCATCTGTCGTAAACTCCCCTAAAATACAAAATTATTAAATAACCAATTTTTTTAATTTTAATTAAATGTATTTATTAAAACATACCATTTCACTTCGAAGATGTGCAAGTTTTATGTCTACAGATGAAGGTTTCCTTGGAGGGACAGGTGGCTTTTCAGTAGGACGTTTATCGGAATGTTCATTAGGTTGTGGAGACTGACGTGTTGGCTTAGGAGAATTGGTATGATCTGGTGGTTTGGACGGTCGACGGTGCGCAGTTTCAGGTTTAATATGTGACGGTACATCATTAAGGCTGAGGCGACTAAGGCTTTCAGGAAGAGGTGGTAAATCGGAATCATATGAAAGCGATAGTGGCGATACAATTTCTGTGTCTACTCTCGGAACTTCCATTCCTGACGACACATCGGGCATTGATGGTTTACGGACTGGGCGTTGAGCCATTTCATTATGCAATGGATGTGGAAACAATGTGAACACTGGCCCCACACTAAAAACAAAATACTCATTCAGTAATTGTGCTAATTTTTTTTAAATTTTGCTGCTTATAGTATTGGCATTTATATACCCAATGGACAATCGTCTCCAGCAAATTTGCAATCTGGACAGCAGGCTTCAAACGCTACTCGACAAATACCACAGGTATCATCGTTAGCGACCCAACGCCATTGAGCCACTCCACTCAACTCTAAAAAAACATTTTCAATAAATTAAGATTTCAAAACAATCGATAGCGATAATAGAAGATAAAAACTTTTAATTGAACAATAGTTACTTACTTGTGACATTTATTTTTAATTTTGGCATTGGCAACCACTAAAATTAAAAGGCATTGGGTTTCAGTTTTCGGACAAATGAAGATAACTTGAAACTGTTGAGACTAAAAATTAAAATCCTAAAACGTTTTATCTTCTTAACGTGCAGTTAGCAAACAAATTTTTAAGGTAGATATATAACATAATTCTAAAATCGCATTCCTCCTTGTCATTTTGATAAAATATAAGACACCGTACTCTACCGTTAAAAACAAACTAACAGCTTGGTCGAAAAGTAGATAGCGCTGCTCGAAATAAATTATTTTATGCAATATTGATAATTTATCACTGTAATATTTTTAAGTGTACTTAGTAAAGATTTATTTACTACAAATGACTCCAGACTGACACAATGTATAACGAATTTCGAAAAAGTATATTGAAAACCGAAATCATTAATTATAACTGATGGTTGGCGTTCGATATTTTAGTATTAAAAACACCAAAAATGTGGCAATAAATTTAAATTACAATTCGACTAATTATGATATCTTAATTATACATCTACTATTTAGTCGTGAGTGTACTACATATGCACAAATTCCTTCGAGATGTTAGTTTAATATGAAGAACACATCTAAAATCTGACCGAATTGATACCTAGTTATGAAAAATATTAAAAAAACACATTTATTGTAACGCATAATACGAGCGACAGATGGCGCTTACTTCGAATAGTATTTAATGTAACGTGAAAAAACTTGACTACATCGTTGAATGTCCGAAAATACATTGCACGGATTAGACAATTAAGACCAATTTTCAATTTGATATCAGGTTTTGTTCGCAAAAATAGTCGAAAACTAGGTACAAGAGCCTGAAAGAGCGGTTTCCCGTTTGGATCACATAGCATGGCCCTAAACGACCAGTACTATTATAAATGTGGGTCAAAACTAAGTGTTAACGTAAGGTCATACTTCACAGGATCATTTCATTAGTATGCATCGTCTCCTCCAGGTGCAAATCTGTAGTCGTCGGCAGTCGATGAGGCTGATCCACTCACCTGGATTGCTGATGGTTTGTCACATAGTGATCACACAACCATGCATCAACGATGATCGCTCACGGTATTACCACAGGATCATATGAAAACAGATTGTTCACTGTTTTCTACGACAGCAAATTTTGCCTTATAAATATAATAATTTATAATATATCTTCGGTTTTCCAAAATCCAGAAGCCTATAAAATTCATAAATATATATATCAGGGTGGTTTTTATTTGGGTGATGTCTGAATTTTTACTTTGAGTGGGGTGTCATTCGATTGAAAAAAAAATAAAAAATGTTACACCTAATCGGAACTTTCTAAGTCAATCCTAACCTCTGCCTGTAAGCAGTTAAAGTTTTCCATTTAAAATACATGCGATTTTTGAATTTTCTAGTGATTATATTGTTTAGATGACTAGTTATTGCCGAAAATATCCAATAATGTATGGAAGTAACGGGAATGGGCCCCCATTCCACACGAAAAAATGTTAACACATATGAATGATTCCATGCCACGTTTGCAACGTTTTTTTACGACAATTTGTCAATTTATTCAAAAAATCCGAAATAAATGGAATATCTTTCGAGTCACGGGGTTTCTTATAGATTGCAGTAGTGTAAAAAATTCATATAGTGCATTTCACGTTAATTCGACTAAGTTTTTTTATATAAGCGAATCGATTTTCTTTGAAAACAAATATATTTATTTGATAAACGTTGTAAGAAGGTAGCTACTAAACATAGTTTCATTTTCAATTAACAACATGACAGGACGTATTCACTATTCAACCATTAACATGATACGTAATTTGGAAATATTTTAACCACTTCTTTCAATGACTAAATTTTATTACTGTAATATTTTGCTATGTGTTATATTATAATTTAAAAACAACTAATAGCCTATTATTAATAAATTAATTTGAGACGACTAATAGTATACATTGTTTAGTGATCTTTTTAAAAGAATTAAACATAGGTAATGTAAAAATGATTTCTTTTGAATTTTTGATGTCTTAAACTTTAATGAAGATGTGAGAAAACCAATAAATTATTATACTCGTATAGATAATAGACTTAAATTATTTTAATTTCTGTCTATCAAACATGAATATGTTTTATTCCGCATGATTAACTCTTCTGCAGTTAAAACAAGATTGTGAGTTCATAAAACGTTATAAAAATACTGTATACAAATATTCTAATTGATCAAAAATGACCTCTTGGAAATTGTCCAACGTTTAAAACCAAAGTAATGATTAAAATATAAATTATTCAAATTATAAATTGTTAATATTTTTTTTTTTTTTTTTAGGTACAACTCGTACATAAATGATGAGCTAGCCAAAGATTCCGGAAAGACGGTTTTGAGACTGCCCCCTTACCATTGTGAACTAAATCCGATTGAATTGGTGTGGTCAATGGCGAAGTCGTTTGTAAAATCCAACAACACAACATACAAGGCCATCGATGTCAAACATCTGCTTCGCCAAGCCATTGACAGGGTAAAACCAGAAGATTGGCAGTCTTTCACAAAACATGTGAAGGACGAGGAACAGAAGTTTTGGGATGTCGACTTCATTTGCCACGAGATGATAGATGAACTTCAGCCCGATTCGCGTCATATTTGGACAATTGGTGAATCGACAGATGAGTCGTCTGATGACGAATTTATTTAATTGATCTAATTTTATTTAATTACCTAATTACTTGTAAATTTGTATGTTACTTTTAAAATATTTTTTTCTTTATATTAATCAAATTCATTGTGTACATTTTTTAATTATTCATAATAATTATTTTTAATGATTGAAATAATGTGAAATTAAAATAAACGTGTATAATCTTTAAAATAAATACTTTTATATAACCATATAATATTGTTTTAAAATATTTAATTTTTGCAAGACGTGTGTCTTTTGTTTTCGTTGTTTTAAATGCGCGACTGGTCATGATCTATTCCGATTCGAGTATAGGCCGTAACACGATTAATTTAAACTAATTTCCCATATAGGTACGATAGTAATTTAATGTGTTAAAAAAAAAAGAATAGATTTGACCTTGTAAAATTCTATAGAAAATTGTGTTTGTTACAGGTCTGGTAAGCATAGTATCTAAGCTGTATTACATTCATAAATTCATGTAGCTGGTAAATAATAATCATTAAAAAATAGTAGGTACCTTAAATTTGATCACTTTATGATAATTGATAACAATTTTAGTGTCATTCAATTTTATGAACGTCCAATAATAATATTGTGTATCATCAACTTTTTTTTTTACCCATGTCTAATTATCATATTTATAAATTAATTTAATTAGTGCGGTCATAGCTGTAAGGTTAACCTTACAGTCTAAATTCTGGTTTCGTTTACAAATTACGAGAAACTGTAGCCACTAGTCTGTCTGTACTCTGTAGGCGCTTGTTGTTGATAAGGATTTAACGACTCTAGTTGGGGCGAGGAAAGGGGTCGTGTTATCAGTTCAAGTGTGCGTGTGTCGTTGTGTTTCATTCAATGAGTTATGACATAGTTGAGCTGAAAAAAAGGCTATGTCAACTGTCAAGTGGTAACAAACTCTAAATACAGTTATAATCGCCAAGGTACTTAAAAAAACTCGTGTGCTCTCTCGTTGCGACAGTTTTTTTTACCAATACTTGGATGACTGGCTCAAAGCACAAATTTAACCGCGAAATGATCGCGGTTGTCGTTGTTAACTCATGCCAGAAACGGTAAAGTTTTAGACATCGTGTAGTTGTTACTTGTTATTTTTGTTGAAGTAGTTTTAGGTAGTAACGTATAATATTAAAAACAAATTGTATTTCGCGCTCGGAGGCCATCCAAATTTTCACTTTTTACGCAACATATTATTAAATATAATTATTAATACAATACGTACCAATATTGTCGTTAACGCATTCCTATATTGTTCAGTGGTTTTCCTATTAATACTTTATTTTTAAGAATTTATATAATTTTTTATTGTGCGTCTAATGTCTTAAAATCGGTGACGGGTCATCAATTTATAAATAACAGAAGACAACATATTATTCTATAATGGCCACGAATTACATCAGAAAACCAGTAATTTTTGTTACAATATGTGTCTTAATGTCTGACTACGTCAATTCTTTACCAATGGAAGTGCTAAGTACAACTTCAGTGACTTCAGAGAAAACTAATGCCGACACACCAGTTGTTAGTTTAGGATTTGTACATGCCTTTGTTGCATCTTTGTCTGTGATAGTTGTGTCCGAATTGGGCGATAAGACATTTTTCATTGCTGCTATTATGGCTATGCGACATTCAAGAATAACTGTTTTTGCCGGTGCCATTTCAGCTCTAGCTCTTATGACAGTTTTATCAGGTAAAACTTAATAATCAAACATAATTTTAGATATATAATGTAATTTTACATTAATTAATTACCCAAGTCATTAGTTGAGTAAATTATCTTGCCCAATATACACCAGTTACAAATACTTCTGTTTTGTATCCCAGCATTCAGTTTAATGAATGATCAAGAAAAGTCCTCGCATTTAAATGAAGTAAACTTAACATTTTCTAGTACTATTTGGTTATGCTGCAACAATAATTCCTCGAGCATATACTTACTACATTTCAACTGCATTATTTGCCATATTTGGTCTGAAAATGCTCAGAGAAGGCTTTAAAATGTCAGCTAATGAAGGTCAAGATGAACTAGAAGAAGTTCAAGCTGATATAAGAAGAAAAGAAACTGAGGTAACACATTTTGAATTTATCACCTATTTAGTAGGAAGCTTACCTTGCAAACAAATGTTGTGTTTTGTGTTCGTATTTATGATTTTGTAAACAACAAATACAGTGGCGGTTTTTTAGCTTACAAGCTTTATAAATCATATTTTAGCACAGTTCACTATAAAAATGTACTCACATATGCAAGTTTTCCGCATAACTTATATCATTTATATTATGTATAAACCAGTTAAACAATTAACAACAACTATCATTCCAAAATATTTTGAAATTCAACAACCATTTCTTCTTATACTATAATTCTAATAGGTGGGTTTAGTAAAAATATAGATTCTAGTAATTGATAATAAAATATTTATTAATAAATAGTCATAGTAACAAAAAGTAACTTCAAAATACTAGAATTTCTGGAAAAAAGGCATCAAGAATTACTAAAATATACTGCAACATCTATATTAAAAACAGCAAATTTATGAGATAAAAATTTGAAAAAATTGAATTAGTAAAGTCTAGTACTGAGGCAAGAAGTATCAGGAAGTCTATTGATATTTCACTTTTAAATTCAATTTATTCAAACATATTTTAATTTAAACATTGATTTTTAAATATACTGATTAGCAGTGATATAGACAATAATGGCGACCGTTTTTAAGCAGGATTTCCGCCGTCATTAGAGGTATCCTTGTCATAGTTTACAGACAGGGGGATGGTAGAAATATCTGATTATTTTAAAATCAATTATAACTACAGCAAATAATAATTGTCCAGATAGTTAGGTGTTAATTAGGAGTCTATGTGTGTACATTTTTTATTAATAAATATTTTTAAATCTAAAATTTTTATATCATTTGTGTATTTAAAATAAGATTAAGATGTGATGATCATAATTTAATATTTTGGACCATAAACAAATTACATTTATTACTAAATGAAATAATATACAATTTTAGTGAAAAGTTGTTTTGTAAATGTTATGTCAATAGCTGTTGATAGACCTATGATAAATTAATAAATGATACAAAATCAGTGTTGAAAATTATAAGTTGTGTTATTTAGATATAATTTAAGGTTATTTTATTGAGTACTCTAGAGATTATGTTGCGATAAAAACAAATACATTATTATTATGTTACTATTTACAAATGTAACATAATAGTTTCCCTATTATCATCTATCTCTAGAAAATATGGTGTTATCGATTTTTTAATACAATTTTGTTTTTTACACTCGAGTTATTTATTTATTATAATGCCAGAGATTTGCACATTGTTAAGGTGTCGTGCACCAAATGCATAATAAATTTAATTATGGCTTCATTTACATTATTTATAGTATTTAATTTTGATTACTTTTGCTACCTATTGTTTGTAGTCAACTAATATAATAATTAGCTTCTACACGTGTATACTTTTTGTTCCATATTGCTTTTCAATCTTTATATTGTCTGAGAATTTCTTTTTGCATTCTCACCTTATCATTCTCTTACAACTAATTAGAGTGATGATTATGGCTTTCCAATGCATGATTAATTGAAAAAAACTATCTATAATTTATGAAATAAACAAGATTTCTCTTAATTTGTTTATTTATTATTCATATATTTTAATATACAATTGAAACTAATGATATAGAATTGGCAATAATGTATTTGTTTCTTAATTTCAAGAGATTTGTTCAAAACAATGTTTGAGACGTTAGGCTTGGTGATTTTTACTTCCCCTAATCATTTTAGCTATCATACATTCAAGCGACTGTGAACATGTATTACAATTTTAAATATTTATGTTAATATTTTATTATACATTCACCTTAAATGATTTATTAGTCAAGGTTCCTTTTTCTTTTGCATGGTTTCCACAATAAGTACCTAACAAAAACTATGTTAAATACAAATAGCTTTTATAATTTAACCAAATAAAAAATAAATATTTGATCATCGAAGACTACCCAAAAAGAAAGGTTATAAATTAATGTTATGTTGCTCTGGCTTGTAGCTCCAGAGAATACTCAGCCTTACACTGCTGTACTCTACTCCATCCAATTCAGGAATACTGGTAATTCTTAACTTGGACAGAGTATAATATTATATTGTAAAATGTTTTACTAGTCAAATTTAGGACCATAAACTAATAAGTTTTTCTATTTATTTTTCTAATAAGTACCTTCTAATATATTATTGATGCATGCAAAAGTTGTAGTTATATTAAAAAAGTTGTAGTTTATAACTATAAAAAAAAAATTTGTTCATTTTTAAAAATGATATATTATGTTTTACGAAAAGAGAAAATAAACTAGTTATATACCATAGAAGATGTAGAAGATCCCATTAAATTAGTGTTTTTTTATTAGTTTTCTATTCAGTTTCAAATGTATAAACATATTTCACATTTTTATTTAAAAATTTAAAAGTGTATCTTAGAAAGCACGTACAAAGAATTTTTAAATTTGTTTCCCTAATTAAGAGTTGCCATGTCTTGCTTAATATAGGTAGCTTATGCAAACTTACTTTAACATTTACAATATTTGATTATGTTATATGATAATAGTTTTATTAAATTATAGGTTTTTGAGTAAAAATAAATAATAAATTATTGCTTTATCTTTTTATATATTACAGCTTTTGTGCTCGCTATACTAATTCTAAATGTTTGGTTTTTAGCTTGTGCATAAAACAAAATAGCTTTTGTTGTCTTAATACTACTAAAATAAAATATAAAAATAGTTTATCAAATAAATGTATAATAAATGAATACAATTTTAAAAACAATAGTTTTTAAAAGACATTTGTGAGTACTATTTTATTAAAAATATTTTTTTCTTAAAAACAAAAAAGTCATTTATTCAATATATTTTTTTTTTTTTTTTTGGAATTCTATAACATTTCTTCTTCATCTCTTTATGCTGTATTTATTGTTTGGGAATATATTATAAAATACCTAAAGTGCAAGAAGGATAAGAAAGAAACTTCTCCAGTTGCACAGAATTCTGACGATTTGCCAGTGACACCACCTGTGGTGGAGACCATTATGCCATCTAATGACAATAATACGAAGGTAAGCACAGAAAAGTAAACCCTAATACTATTTAAACAAGTATTAAACCAATTAGGAAGTAGCAATATTATTTAATATTTTAAAATAATGTATTTGTTTTAGTTGTATTGTGTTTAATGTATAAGCATTATTTGATTGATGTACACAATTATTTTTTGAGCAACATAATCTTTAATATTTTTAAAGGGATATTAATTATATATAGTGTTATTAATTTATTTAGATAATGTATTAACGCAATATCTCTCTAAAGTACTCAGTTTAAGCTGGTTAAAGTAGTGATGACATACACAAAAAATACCTATTGTTTTAAACTTTTATATAGGAAATTGATGTGGAACAACAAGCTACTAGACAGTGTCGCTTTAGGTGTGGCAGCAAAAGTCTATTGTTTGTGTCACAGACTTTACTTCAAGCGTTTACAATGACGTTCCTGGCCGAATGGGGGGATCGTAGTCAATTGGCAACAATTATTTTAGCAGCAAGAGAAGTATAATATTATTGTAAAATCTTCATAAACTATGCAGTTTTCTATAATTGTTTTAATTTTCAGAATGCTTATGGCGTTGCACTAGGAGGTGTGTTAGGACATTCGTTTTGTACCGGCTTAGCAGTAATAGGTGGACGTTTTATTGCCCAAAAAATTTCTGTCAGAACTGGTATATAAAATGAATACTTAAACTCACTTATAGGTAATAATAATTGATTTTATTTTCTGTTATACAGTAACTATTGTTGGCGGTGTTGTATTTATAATGTTTGCATTGACGGCACTAATGTTTGATCCGAATGAAGGAGAAACGTAGCTGTTAATATCTTCAAATATAACTTTAATGAGCAACAAAAGCTTAGAAATATTCAGATTTGTTAACTGAAAAATACCTATTTGAATCAAAGATAATTTATAATTACTTGAGAACATAATATATTCATTGAAATGAAATAGTACAAACCAAACATTTGGTTTGTAGTTATGACTAATATATTTGTGTTATGATTATTTACTTATTATTTTTTTAAAATGTCATTAACACAAAGTCAAGAACGTAAGATTATTTTTTTTTTACATTTAAAATATTTACGTGTTATTTTTTTATTTAAGCCATATGAATTACTTTACTTAAACAAACGCCATTGTATTACCTTTTAAAACCAAATTATGTATAATTTTACATAAATGTTATTAAAAATGTATAGTATTCTAAATTACATATGTTCTACCTGAATGTACTTAACAAATTGTTGTTATTTGTAAAAAGTCTATTTTGTTTTCATTAAACAAATTAAAAAGTAAACTTGGTTATATTACATTATTTTATTCTAAAAATGTACAATTGGTTATTAGCTTACAATTTAAAAAATGTCATTTATTAGAAGAAACATAAGAAAATTGATTTTTAAAGGTGCTTAACTAATCACACGTTTGGGTACCTAATGTGTTTTAAGCACACAATTTTATTGGTTTTACACTGAATTAGAGGTCCAAAGTAAGTATGAGGGGGCTTTTATAAAATGTCTGCTATAAAAACATACACATAAATTTGTGTGCACATAATGTAGTAGCATACACACATACTTCATACTTCCCTAATATCACACTTGTTGACGGTCTACTTCTATGGCTTAGTAGGCATAAAACTCGAAAATCAGACTCTTGTACAAAAGTTTGACACCATCTCTGACTAGTTATTGGACATTTTTTTCCATCTAAAATGAGGCATTAGACAAGTTTTGGAATTGCTCGACCACATTCTTAAGACTTCGGCGCCACCGAGGGGGAGGGCTATACAAAGGTTTTTTCCGACAGTCTTTTAGCCAAAAATAATTTATTGTCAAAAAAATTGTAGCTTTAGTTTCAGCTAAAAAAACTTCAAATAAAATCTTCATTATAATAAACTATCCAAGAATGTCTGAATAAGTATAATAATTTGTTAATACATGTAGAAACAAATTAATTTTATAAATTGCTTAAAACTTATGCACTATAAGGGTCGCGACTGCAAAGCCGAAACCTGTATAATTTTAATGTAATTTAAAGTTAAAGAAAACACTTTTTATTAATAGCTTTGGTTATTTTTGTTAAAGAAAAATGATCGGATGCCTTTATTAAATGTTTCATTTTTTTTTCTTTTTAATTAAAATGGTATTTAATTAACTTGTAGTGCGGTTGGATGCTACTATGCCGGTAACTATATGTATATTTTTGGTTAATCTTTTAATAATTATAGAGTAAAAATAAGTATGATAATGACAATCTATTTCAAGTTTTAAAATGTTTATTATTTTTGTAAACATTTTATATCTTATCCATTCATTCATTTCGATTTTCACTTGTGCCATAATTCATTAACAGTATATTTTTGCCTTATTGGTGCAAATAGAAGGGAGGGGAGGAGAGACTTGGCTCTTTCGTCAAATCCTCATCTAGGGATTTGCCCCTCCCTCACGTCTTTTTAATCAATATGCTAGTTGGGTTACGTATATGCATAAGGGCTATTTGCGCGTATGTATTACCTTTCTTAAATGTATGTTATGCAAAACCTTTAAACTATACGACTTACCATTGTATTGTTGTATAAGCGGAGGTATCGTTAAATGGAAATTGTATGCATTTGTTCTAAATTTTATAAAAATTTGTTACGTGAAATAATTTATACTATGTAATAAATTATTAAAAATAATTTTAAAAAAAGGCAAGCGATGTGTCCGTGGCAGTTAAGGGGAACGGAAAGCGATATTTATTTTAAGGGGCAAAGGATAGGCAATAATTAACAAAAATTGATTTAATAGCCATTTTACATATGTCTATTAATTTCAAGGCGAACACATATTACAATTTTCTAATTATATAACTTTAAAGTTATATTTCTCCGAGTTATGACGAAAGTTTGATATTTTTTCAATGGGGGCTAAAAGGACGATTTTTGATTTAGAGATTAAAAAAGTAGTTGGATGTATTAGAAAAAACTATAAAAAAGTAAAAATAAAATGCTTATAAATATTTTTTGAAAACAAAATTAAAAATCGGTCTTTGGCCCCCATGAGAAGATATAAAACTATAAAACAAAAATTATTGAAATCGGTTCGGTAAACAATAAAAATTAGTCTATAATCTGTTAAAAATGTTTTGTATGTCCTACTAAGAAGATGCCCCTGAATATAGGCAACATAATGTACAGTTCAGCAGTTCGGTAAATTAGTCCGTATGCTAATATAAAGGGTGTCCCATAAAGTGCGCAACATTTAAAAAATTAATAAAACAGTTACATATCAATGAAAATACATATATTCTTATTATTTACATTCAATAACATCTCCGATTTTATTGTGAAAAACAATGTCTTGCATATTACCTTCACTGAGTCTGCATGTGTTGACAATCTCGATGAAATTGGCGCAACGGACGGGCGCCCGCGGTTTGACTCCCAAGGCACAGGCCGACTGCGCGAGCTACCGTGACTCCCGTCCGTCGCGCCAATTTCATCGAGCGCATCATCACATGCAGACTCAGTGAAGGTGGTCTGGCATAATATGCCAGACATTGTTTTCCACAATTAAATCGGAGATGTTATTGAACTTGTTTTATTAAATAAATACATAAGTATATAAATACAATATATATAATATATGTTATTAAAGTAACAAGCATATCAATTTTTACAATGTTTAATAATACTGATTAAAAAGTTTCATTAGAAAAAGGAATCGCTTTTGTCGGCTTGACTAGATTTTGTAATAATATACGCATAAAAATACACACATGCACCTACACAATATAACATATTATGTATTAAAATACAGGCTTTAAACTTCTGATAACATGTTATCGCTAGATTTCTTGTGATTGATGCTAGATTTGGTCAATGGAAGAAAATTAGGACGCGCCAATATGCTGGAATTTTGACAACACGAATCTGGAGTCTGAACAGCAATTATATCAGTTTGTGTTTCGGCCACGCTGGTAGAGGAAGGACTAACACAGCGGAGTATTAAATCCATAGAGTTTTGTAGTTGTTGAACCTAAAAAATATTTTATATGTTAAAATAGCAATATATATTATGCAGTGTGTACAATTTAAGTGAAAAAAAAATTAATTGGCAATGAAACAATAATTTAATTTTTTTTTGTACTTCTACATAAATCAGTAAGTTAAAAAAAAAAAAAAATGTACAATGATTAACAAGTTACAATTAAATTTTAGTTTCGATGCGGAGCAGCTATGCTATTTTTTTTTTAATGTAAGCTTTTTTAATATATATATATATTAAAAAAACATTATTTTCACATATCTTGATTGTTGTTCTATTACCTTTACATCAAGTGCAGAACACGTATTTTCCAGACATTTAAAATCCCCATCACTGTTGCTGTTTCCTCCAATTCGGCTATCAATGTTATTCACCTTAAGTTTCAAGTGATGTTATAGTTATTACTTATTAGTAAGTAGCGATAATAATAAATTTAAGAAAAAATAAAACAAATATACATACAAAGTGATTAATTTAATGTAAATCTATTTTATGTTAAATGAATCACACTATATGTCTTCTACTCAATAATTAAGAAAGTTAAAAATATGTATAATATTGTTGAAATATTTTCAGATTTGCAAAGTATTTTATTTAAACCTTGCCATTAAAATAAGTTTACATATTTTTTACTTTAATTAAAATATGTTATTACTTTTTTCCACAATTCATTAATCGCCTGCATTTGTAATACTACTAATTTGTGTTCTTTTTCAAGCGTGCTTTTAGTATCTCCTAAATCTTTACTCATTTGTCTGAAACCATAAACATTTTTTAACAATACCATTATTTTTGTTTATTAATTACTATTTTAATTTTTATTTACTGTATGTGTTCATTAAAACGTAGCATTTGAATATTTTGATAGACATTGGCCACAGTTTTGTTTAAATTACGAGTCTGATACCCTCTCCAAATCTTTTGAATAATGGTAGCTGCTTTATTCAGATCTGTAAATGTATGTTTAACTTGTTAGTTTGAACCTTATAATATTTATCTGAGTTAGTGTTCACCATTATGGTTTTCATTGAAATTCATAATTGATGCTTTATTTTTTATCATTTGTAATTTTTCCATGGTAGGTGCTCGTGATTCTTCTCCAGCGGGGGTCTGTAGGCCGATCGATGGTTTTTGTCTGGGAGCACCTGGTGTTAAAGGACTAGGCAACGAGTCCAATATCGGTAACATAGTGCTGGCAGCGGGCAAAGGTTGTGACTGACTATAACTACCCGACAGAGGTAAATGTACACTCCGAGTCATACTACAGGGTGTCGCTTGGCAACTCTCTGGACCAGTAGATAGCCGTTGTGAAGTAGACTTTAGGGTGCTAGCATCTAAACTTCTAGTCATTAGGGATTCTTGTTCAGACTCGTTTGTACTTGAAACAGAAGTTCCTGCGAGTACAAAAAGATAATATATAATAATAATAAAAACTAGAAAAAATGTAGTATTATTTAATATCTGCTAAGAAAAAAGTACACAAAGTGGATGGATATCGAAACTTTGTAATAGTTTATTGGACACAGCAACAGACTGACTCAGAGAGCGAAAACAAAAGGTAGGTTAGGTTATCGCTGAACTGCCAAGATTTTGGGCCACTTGAGCTCATTAAATTAATTATTTCTAAGTATCTTAACCAAGGAGGCTTGATTTTATGTATATAGTGGGCTTAATTATATAATCCACCGAATCTCAATTTAATCCCCGTTTGAATTGGACAGGGTTTAATGAAATTGAAAAAAACCCTTAGTGGACAGTACCAAGATCAGCAATATGTATACTTCAAATTTTAAGAACATAACGAAAAATGGCAGTATTTAGCATGCGCAACTGATTAAAGGTTAATTATTAAAAAAATTTAGGTTATTTTAAATACACTTTTATTTAGCGTTGTTTTTTATATTATGTTTATAAAATAATTATACTATTTGAATTAGTATTTCTATTTTTATTTTTATAAAATATTATTTAAATAATGCTTAGGTTTATTCAAATTATGTCTCGAATAGTAATTTTAAATAGCTTAGTTGAGTTATGTAATACGTACATATCATAAGAAAATTAAAATGCAAGGTATGCAAGTGTGACAGCAAAGTGACTATAATACAATTAAAAAGACACAATTTATCAAACTTACTGTGCAACTGCTCCCTATATTGTTGAGCTTTGCTTAACACTAATCTTAATTTTCTTTCGTGTTCAGTCTCTAATGCTCGATTAGTAATTGGACAGGTTTCTGCTAAATAACGAACAAGAGCTGCATGTTGACCAGTGTGAAATTTTCGACCTTGCCCTTGACTATAAAGCCATTCAGCCTTTAAACTAAAAATAAAGGATCATTTTTATTGGAGCACCAAGAATACATTTTGCACTTACTTTTCAATATCATCAACGGCGTAACCATCAATTATTTTAACACTAGGACACCAATTTACAATGTAAGGCCTATAATTGAAACTATACCCTTCTAGACAATTATTTCCTGCTAGAGAAATTTCTTTTAAAGAGTTTAGTCGGCATAGCTGTGATATTTCATTTAGATCATTGAGATTGTTATTGGCTAAAGTTAAAGTATTAAGATTGATCGGAAGAAAATGTTGACAGTTTGTCAAATGGCATATTTGATTTGAATGTAAATGTAATCGCTATAAAAATAATAATGATAATAATAATAATATGAAAGAAGATTAAATTAATCAATTTACTTCTAGTTTTAAAAGATGACTTAGATTTGTGATGTATGTTATACTGTTAAATGACAGATCCATGTGCACCAAATTCACATTGGTTGATAAATGTTCAATTATCTAACAAAATAAAAATATTAAATATGAAATTAATAGTAGATAATAAACAAATTAATTGACTCCTAATGGGAACTTACTTTGATTTTATTGTTTGACAAATTTAACCACGTTAAATTCACTAGATCTCTGAGCCCTTCAATGCTCATTAGATGATTATTTGATAAATCTAATTTTACAATTTTAGTTAACTTTGAAACAGTATACATCCTCATCATTTGGTTGTGACTTGCTATTAACTATACATACAAAATGTATAATAATATAAAGAAATTCATAAGGTAAAAATTATTTTTATTAAGTAACAAATCTTAAGGTGGTAGTATCTTACTTCAGTGAGGTTCATATAATTTTCTATATTCTCCAATTTTTGTAAGTTGTTTTTGCTCACGTCTAAAACGTTGATAGTATTGCAATTTTCTTGTTTGGGTAGCTTTCGTAATTCCTGATTGGACATGTCTAACAAAGAGTTATCTGAAAATTATACTCGTGTTATCTTACTTAATAAAAATAAATAATTTATCAATTGAAAATACATGTTAAATAATATAGAACATTTAATATTTGTTTGTCAAATACTTGTTAAGTTGTTTTATGTGTAGTATTTTATAATTTATGATTTATGATGTAGCTGAGCAAGTGCTACAGTAATCGTATTTTGTCACAAGAAAATATATTATTCACTTTTACATTGTCTAAATTCTTTAGAAAATCATAATTTAGGTCTTGAGTAAATAATTATTCTTAATATTAAGATAAAAAAATAGGAATAAACAAATTTGTAAGCAACGTACCCTCCATTTTATGAAAGAAAATGACTACTTTGATTATAGTACTTGAATAATTTTTAAACCTAATTTAGTTGTGTGATCACTAAAAAATAATGTTGATATAGCCGTATATAATTTTAAATATTTTTAATTTGTAATTTATAAGAAACTTTTTTTTTTAAATTTAACGCGATTTGCATTCTGCGATGAGCCGTGAGCGACAACAGAACAGTTAGGGATAGTGGATACGTTATCATTGCTAATAGTAAACAAACTAGAAACTAGGAACGGTTAAAAAATTGATATCTCAATCTCGTTTCTCGTATTAATTTTGTTTATTTTAAATTGGAACATACTTCCTACTCGTCTACTGACAAAGGCCAAAGGGATAATGATTAAAGAATCAAGAATGTAAACATGATATATTTTTATTTTTCGAAAGTTTAATACTGCAATTATTTTTGTTTAATATTACTTAATACTTATAAATGTTGTGTAGTTGATTTTCATAAAAAGGTAAGTGAACAATGTCGTCTTTAAATATGTATATCCAAATAATAGGTTTTTATATGCTTTTAAACACACGTGTTTTAATCGTTTGAATTAGTGTTTGGAATGTATTGGAAACGTGTTAAAGTGTACTACGCAAACCATTTGCGTATCAGTCGCCTCAAGTACTGTACGATATCCAAGTCATCAAGACTTACCAACGAACCCGAACTGATTGTCGAGCAAAACCATGTACCTAAAGTAGTTGATGAATGTATGGGTAAAGCACCTCGTTTAATACCCATAGAAAAATCTGAATTTCGTAAAAATGCGTTAAATATTCAAATGCTTTCATCTAATTTGTATGATCAACTTTTCAATGAGCCTCATCAAACAAATGATAATGTTCAAAGATCAGCTTTGCGTGAACTCTCCAAATTTGGACTGCCATCGGTATTGCACCCAATTCCAGATGTTGAACTCCAGCTGCCTCCATTAGAAGGGAACATAGTTGAACATTTTTATGAAATTGGTAGAATACAAAGTGAACCATATGCATTATTAATGGACGAATTTTTGAAAAATTCCATTCCAGAAATGCCAAAACATTGGGAATTTAGAGAAGGATGGACTAGGTATGGTAAAAATATCGAACCTTGTGATCATCCAAAAGAAAAAGTTATGATATTTGACGTTGAAGTATGTTGTACAGAAGGAGATCTGCCCACTATGGCCACTGCTGTCACATCAGAAGCTTGGTACAGTTGGGTGAGTAAAGATTTAATCAACTGTAACACTAGAATGGGCAGAAATTTAGGTTATTCCATCAACGATCTTATTCCATTAGAGTCTCCAGCAAATTCTAAAGATAAACCTACTGATTGGACTATTACTCCTAAATTATGTGTTGGACACCATGTAGCTTTTGATCGTGCTAGAATAATGGAACAGTATTGGTTAAGTCGTACAGGTCTTCGTTTTATAGATACTATGTCATTACATGTCGCAGTAAGTGGTATTACTAGTTATCAAAAAGCATTACTAAAATCAAAAAATATCATAGAAGATGAATCCTGGCAACAGTACAGTTCCTTAAACAGTTTAAATGAAGTTTATAAGTTATATTGTAAATTGGATTTATCTAAAAGCAACCGTGAAACATTCGTTAAAGGTTCATTAACAGATATTAACAATGATTTTCAGAATTTAATGACTTATTGTGCAAATGATGTGATAGCTACTTCACGAGTCTTAACACAATTATGGCCATTATTTTGTGAGAGATTTCCTCATCCAGTGACATTAGCTGGTATTTTGGAATTGGGTACCTCTTACTTGCCAGTTAACTCAAATTGGAAAAAATATTTAGATACTTCTAATGAAATCTATGAAGATTTGAATATAGAATCCAAGTTCTTATTATCACAACAAGCAAATCAAGCATGTCAATTGATGTACAATGAAAACTATAAAAAAGATTTGTGGCTCTGGGATCAAGATTGGACTCCTAAACAATTTAAATTAAAGAAAGAAAAAAAGAAGAAACTAGAAATCACTGTTGAAAATAAACCTATAGTACCTGAAGATATTTATGAAGAAAGATATTTAGAGTTAGAAAATAAATTTAAAAATCTTATGGAAACAAATGAAAGAATGCCTGTTAAAACTCCTCATTTAGCCGGATATCCAGAATGGTATAGAAAGTTATGTGCCCCTCCTAAAGATCCAAATTGGGTTCCTGGTCCTAACCTCATAAGTTCAGGAATGCATTTAGTTCCTAAGTTACTCTCTCTAATGTGGAAATCTATTCCTTTACACTATGTTCGAAGTCATGGCTGGGGTCAACTTGTACCCTATGATACTGATATTAAAATTCCAGATGCTGAACTTGTACCCATTAAAGAGTTAGAGGAACATTGTGTTCAAAGTAATTTAACTTGTGGCTGTGATATAAAAATGACCTGTTCAGAAATTCATGAAGAAGTTCAAAAAAACCTAGTTAAATATGAATGTACTTTCAAAAAAAAAATTGGAAAAGACAAGTTTCGCTCTCTGTGCAAGACCAGTTTTGAATCAAAGTGTGGTCTTTTGAAACTACCACATAAAGATGGTAATCATTTGAATGTAGGAAATCCACTTGCAAGAGATTTCTTAAATAAATTTTCACAAAGTGGTCTGTCTGGAAAAGATAGTAAAGCAGAACGAATTATTGAAATATCACGAATGTTGTCGTATTGGAGAAATAACAGAGAACGGGTTGAAGGACAATTTGTTGTTTGGACAGATAAGTCTGAAGGACGTGGTGCAATCTTACCTCAAGTTGTAGTTTGTGGTACTCTAACTCGTAGAGCTGTTGAAAGAACATGGATGACAGCATCCAATGCTATTGATGAAAGAGTGGGTTCTGAACTACGCAGCATGATTCAAGCACCTCCTGGTTACCATTTGGTGGGGGCTGATGTGGATTCACAAGAATTATGGATTGCTTCTATTATTGGCGATTCTCATTTTGGTAAAGAACACGGTGCTACTGCTTTTGGATGGATGACACTTAGTGGTAAAAAGAGTGATGGTACAGATATGCATAGTGCTACCGCAAAAGCAATTGGAATCACAAGGGATAATGCCAAAGTATTAAATTATGCTAGAATTTACGGTGCGGGTAAACCATTTGCTGAGCGTTTATTGAAACAGTTTAATCCGGATTTGACCATAGCGCAGGCAAAACAAAAAGCGATAGCTATGTTCAATGTGACCAAAGGGAATAGGGTTTACAAATTACGTGATTCTGTTTTACCGGAACTTAAAAAAAGAGAATATACACGACGTGGTGCAGAAGACGTTTGTACTATTTATAATTTAAGCGGTGAAGAAATATTTGAAAAACCTGCTTGGAGTGGAGGCTCGGAATCGGCTATGTTCAATAGCCTAGAACATATTGCATATTCAAAACATCCAAAAACACCATTTTTAGAATCAAGACTGAGTCGTGCTTTAGAAGTACAAGAAAGTGATGTAGGAAAATATGTGCCAACTAGAATTAACTGGGTTGTTCAAAGTGGTGCTGTAGATTTTCTACACTTAATGCTAGTCTGTATGCGATGGTTGGTGCATCCTAATGTAAGATTTTGTTTGAGTTTTCATGATGAAATACGATATCTGGTCCCTAGTGAACATCGTTACCAAACTGCACTCGCATTACATGTTACCAATTTACTGGTCAGAGCATTTTGTGTTCAAAAATTGGGCATGACAGATTTACCTCAGTCTGTAGCATTTTTCAGTTCAGTCGAAGTGGATACTGCACTTAGAAAAGACGCGACTCACGATTGTGTTACGCCTTCAAATCCGTATGGATTATCAAAAGCTTATGGGATTCATCTTGGAGAGTCGTTAAACATCATTAAAGCAGTAGAACTTTCTGGCGGTAACATTGGAGTGTTTAAAAAGAAAAAGAAAAAAAACTGACCAACTAATATCAGCTATTAATAACTTAGATTATCGTAGAACTAAATAATTACTTGTGTATTATAATTTTTTATAAAGAGTATCATTTATTAAGTGTTATTTTTTTACAGAATGTCGAAAGCGACTAAACGTAAACATGTCCAGAAGGAAATGCTCAATTCAGATTGGCTGGGGCCTACGGGTGATCAGCGTTTGGTGCGGATAGTTGCGGGACGTGGAAACAATCTTCATGAAGTTTGTTCTGTAGATGATAATGAAACATTTTTAGTGTCGATGCCAGCAAAATTTAGGCGTAATGTTTGGGTCAAGCGAGATGATTATGTTGTGATTGAGCCAATCCTCGAAGGAGATAAAGTACGAGGTGAAATAGTACGTGTATTGACAAGAGAAGATGTCAAAATGTTGAAACAAAAAGGTTGGGGTAAAAAAGATTACGATGATGAAATTGCACCCAACACTAATCGACCTATTGTCACTACAATCAGCGACTTGAGTGGTACAGACACTGACACTGATCATGATGACCCGTCTGAAGACACCGATTACTCTTCATAAAAAGGCCAGATCTACTTCCCTTCTGTGGCACCATGTGCTAACAAAGACTATATTCTGTTAATATTTTGTGATTTATGTATTAAGTTAAATATATGGAAAGTAACAAGTCTAAGTACCTATTTATTTTTAAGAATAATATCTAATAAATATATTGTGTAATAAAATGTTCAAAATAATTGTACTAATCTATTTTGCTTCTTTTGTTCCGTATCCAATTCTGTGAGTATCAAATAATTTATATATTATGTTTTATACAACACATATTTATATATTATTTAAGTTATTGACCGATATCAAAGTACTTAAATTATTTTAACATAATTATGAAACGAAATAAATATCTATTGCCATTAAATTAAACACCAATTTACAAAGTACAAATTATAATTTAAACTTTTGTAATCGGTGGTAACAGGAATTTTGATTACAATATAATATTAATGTTTTAAAATAATTTATCACTAACGTAGTTCATTTGAACGTTAGTGTGTAATGTTAAAGGTGATAGTAAATTACTTGTTGTGTTGGATATTGTAAAGTCGGTGTGTTAAGTCTTTAAAGAACTAGTTATTTTTTTTATTTTAAGTATAATGCGGTCAATAACACATTTCACACTGACAGTTTGCTAAGTAGCTATTTTTAAAACCAACAATAATAAATATCATTTATTTTATTGTAATTTATTATACATAGTTATAATTTTTTTTTTTTTTTAATTGAAAAGTACAAGGAATCTGAGTTGGGGCGACATTTCAGTTTTTCTTAGGGTGGGCAAAAATTTTATCGACCCAATGTTCATTTACAAATATAAATATTTTTTTCAAAACACTTGGATACAAAACAGTAATAACACAAATATTATAAACCTTCATACCTATTATACTTGGTAAACAGTTCAGACTGTTCATTATTAGTAAAGGTAGGTAGTTGCATAAAAAAACAGACAATTTACAGCCTTACGTACCGAAAATTTGACCAGCCCATAAAAATCAAGGGTAGGACAAATGCCCCCCCCCCCCCAATGACGACACTGAATCTGAGGTAGTTAACTAAATGACGACTAATAATAACACGTTTTCTTGGTTTTTGATAAAAATTATTTATAAACTTTTGAGTGTACTACAAACAAATTTATTTCAACAATTAAAAGCTTAAACGACTGCAAAATGTTTATTGTCCGATACATCTTAGTTTAACACAGACAGTTCCTCTGGTAAACAACTTTGCTGACTTATATTACTTAATTAAATTTAGAAAACATGCAAGATTGTTTATAAACATTTTTCTCTTTAAAGTCAATAATCTTAATAGTTTAAGTACTAAAATTACAGCCGAAAAACAACATGTTTTCTATAAACATAAAAATTTAACACGAGATAATACACATTATCAGTTATGCAGGCACTTGCTAAGCCATTTCCGACTATATTTTAATAGCAGAATTTATTATAATGTTTAAATAAAACACTAAAATTGTATTGTTAAAACAATATAATAAAACATGTTTTTAAATGTATAAAATTGTGAAAACTCTAATTTTGTTTTATGTATATATTTATAACCTATACAACAGTTGTATAAACGATAATAATTTGTAATAATAAATTGTCTTCTACATATATAAAAGACCAGCATATATTTTAAAAGCACAGTTAAATGTCAACCGATTATAATAGTTTTTGAATTTTTAGGGAAATAAATTTTGTAGGAACTATGATCCCTTTTCTCATCGAATTAAGTACAAATTTCAAGTTTAAGGTAACAAGAGATTCAGAAATAACAATTTTTAACATTATCCTTGCTTTTAATACTGGATATTATAAGTACTGTGTTAACGTCTAATCTGTCATAAAATACTTTTGTAATACTTCTTAAAGGTTAAGTAATTTGAAAGGGGCATAGGTTGGTATTCAAAAAACTAACTGGCATATCACTGGTGAAATTGGCGCTTACTATACAATTTAAAAATTTAAACGTGTCAAATTTTAAACTGGCGTGTAGTTGCCGCTTGGTTTATAAAAGAATTGTCCTCGCAGTAAACGCCTAAACAGCTCTTTTCTCAGCAACCTCTTTTCCTTGGCCAATTTCTTCAGGACTCCTTTGTTCTCCATAGCTCGGCGGGACAAATATGGTAACACTTCGTTCACTGGTCCATATGGTATGTACTTATAGGCTGAATATCCAGCTTGGCCTAGGTGATTTAAAAATAGTTATTTTAATAACAGAGTAATTTAACAATAATAATAACATACCCAGAGGGAACGTAATGAAATCGCACATGCCGAGCAATTGACCGAAGCAGATCACTTTGTCCTCTGGAGAGATTCCAATTTCATTCATTCTGATAAGCGAGGAAAACAAAAACGAAAAATTTGAATGAAAACTTAATTTTAAATTAACAAGTTGGAGGTGGTTTTCATAAGTGATGAGTACTGTGTTTTGTTTTATTGTTTTGTGCAATATCCATTCCACGTTATATTCCAGTTATCGCTTGTATTTGTTGACGTTGAATACGTGTATTTTAGACACTATTCTATGTGTCTCTGCAAAATTTATCAAATTAACAAAAATAGCCTAACCCTAACTAACCTCGGTTTTTTATTTGTTACCTAACAGAACTATTTTGCACATCACAATGTATATAAGAAATCACAAATATTCACATATTAGAGGGATATCTGTATTGTTTTATAAGACTGTGTGTAACTAAAAAACGCAAATCATTTTTACTCACTTTGAAATAGCAAAGCGAACTGTATCTTCATTGTGTGAAGCAACCATAATTCCAATTTTATTTGGAGTGTCACCCTTGTCTTTGAGATCCTTGATACGTGTTAAGCATTCTGTTAGAGTGTCATGGTACAACTTGGTAGTGGCATCGTATGACGGGTTAGTAGGATCAGTATAACCTAAAGCTGCAGCTCTTGCTCTTTCCTGAAGAATAAATGGTATTTATGCAATGTGAAACAATGTTCTTGATGATACTATTACATGGCAAAAACAACCATTTGAATATAAATTATCAGTTTTTTCAAACTAAGTGTACTCTTTTATCTTTCAGACAGGAATTGAAAATGTTTTCAAACCAAAATGTACACTATTTGTCATATTACAACAAACGTTGATTAAAATTATTAAAAGTATCATAGATAGATTTTGCACTTGTAAAATAAAAAAAGTTATTCAAAAATATTTTGAAGTTAAGTTATGCCTTTTAGACCAATATAACATTTCGTTTCAGTAACTTTATTTTGTATTGTTCCAAAAGGCATAACCTAACTTAGAAATGTTATTATTTTTCTTCTTATTATTTTTTTTTTTTACAATTTCAAAATCAGTTAAGCTATTAGACTATTAATAATTATCATCAACGCTTGCTGTAGTTATAACAAATAGTGTACATTTTGGCTTGAAAACGTTATGAATCCCTGCTTTCAGATAATAAAAATGTTATTTAATTTTTTTTAACTAGGAACTCTATAACACTGGGAACTCTATAAATAGAATAGTTTCAAATTAGGCACCAACTAAAATACCAATGGCATGACCTGACACATTTTCAGTGAAATTAGATAACGTGTAAAACTGTTAAGTGGTTTTTATAGACAGTATAAAACCATTACTTTTATAGATGATAAGAACCTAATTATAGCTGTAACATTACAAAAGGATCTCAGAATAGTCATTAAAAATTTAAAAAAACAACTACTTTGCATGAGTGTTTTATTTAAAAAATAAATTACTTGATCAATATAAGCGCCTCGCACAAGTTTTGCTCCAAAATAGAATTTTTGTCTTTTAGCTTGGTTTAGATCAGTCTTAACTTCATTAAGCGTATCTTTTAGGTAACATTGATAAGTGTTGAATACAATAGCTTTTTCAGTATTGTACTTTTGCATTAATTCTAGTGTCAATCTAGAAATTGCAGGCTGAAAATAAGTTTGTTCAGCATCAACCATAAGACGCACATCTAAATCTCTGGCAGTCTAAAACAAGAAAATTGTATTACACAAAAATTAATTAATTTTAAATTGTATCAAACTTAAAAAAATCAGGAATTTCAATATTCTTACTTGAACTAGAGTGTTGAGACGTTGAACCATGTTCCGGAACATTTCCTCTTCTTTTTTTGATAGCTGAGACAATAGTCTTACCATGCGACCCTCTTTTAAGCAGGGTACTCGGAAGGTCTCACATAATTCAGAGTTTTCATTTAATAAACCACTCCATGGGAATAAATGTATGACACTGAAATCAAACATTTATAATAATAAATATAATAAACCTAGTCTATATTATATTATACCCTTGGCTATCTTTGGTGACTTTTTCCAAGAATTTTTTTGTATCTTTGATACCAGCTTCAAATAAACGCTTGTCTAACTCTTCAAGAGTTAGATGTTGACCAATAACGTTTCCCTTACCACCCATCAGCTCACTAGCCAATGAACGAGCTCTCATTATAACTTCAGATAATTGCAACTAAAATTCAATTGAAAAAAATAAAAGTATTCACAATTTAACAAATGATTGCAATCTCAAATATAATCAATATTGAATTTACAGAGTGATCATTTTATCTTGAACCATTCAATATGTCTCATAGGGTTTAGTAAGAAATTAAAAATTTTAATCATGGCGTTTTTATACAATGTGATCTTAATTATTTTTTGTTTTAACCTCCCTTTATCAACTTTTAAAACTTAAATGGTAACATATATATTTTATTAACTTTAAAATTAAGAATATTTTACTAATCATTTTGACTGGTTGATAACCAGTTTTAAACAAATATTTTTAAAGTTATAAGAGTAAGCGCGGTTGGGAAAATAATACAGATAAAAATAATACTACACACCACCTTACCTTACCTTTAACATAACTTTTCTCTTCCCCCAAAACTTAAAACTTCAATAACTTCAAAAATAGTTATCCAAAACTGGTTATCGACCAGTCAATATTTTTAGTAAATAGTACATTATTTTCAATTTAAAAAGTTAATGCATTACCATTTAAGTTTCAAAAGTTATTATACAAATAACTAGTTTAGGAGGGTGGATAGGAACAAATAAATTTGTGTAAAATTGAGATGACAATATATAAAAACACTGAAAAAAAAAAATCCGTTATTAAGTAAACCCAATGAGATTGAGTGGTTCACGATAAAATTATCACCTTGTATTACAGGTTAATAATTATGATTTTAAGGCAAAATTTATACCAAAACAAAGTAAGTTTATTACAGATACACATTCTTTTTTGTGCTAAAAAATTTTAATTGAACGATTTCATCTATATAAATGTTATTTCCAAATCACTTAAACCGTACTACTATTACGAAATTAAAAAAAAAAGTTTCATATAAATTAAAGGATAGAATTGGCTATTGTATATTTAATCTATAAATTTGCATAAGTTGGCTAATTTTACTGACTGATTAGGTTAAATAAAACATGAACTATTATCAGAAAAAACGAAAAAAGAACAACGCGAAATAATTGTAATTCAAACAATTATCCAACTAGGAAGGCTGGTTTGAATAATAAACCATTTAGAGTTTATCTGGAAGACATTAAAAAGAAGCGATAGAAAATAAGCAAAAGGCCTAAAACATACACAACACAATATAGGCCAATTTATCGACCGCCGCTCGTGCATCAAGTTTTAACTGTCTTTATTATAATAGCTTCACATAGAATTATTATTATTCAATTACTTAATGTTACGTTTATTATCGGCGATTAAATATCATTTTATGTAATTTTGTTATAGTTGTAGTATACTAAACGAGACACAGACAATGGCTGGCCACCAGTTGGACAGCGATAAGATGCTACAATGTGTTTTTGACTATTTATTTAAAACGAATCCTTAGGAATAAATTCAAATGGGACAAATGAGAAAACGTGCGATGCTCCACACAAAATGAATTAATACGTCATGACCCCCACACGTAATCATATGTTCTCTAATGCGTCGAACAACTATTTAAAACTTATCTGCTGTATTTAAAATTGATTAGGACCGCTAATCAACATTTTTTAGACTAAATTAGTCCATCCAAATTAGTATCAGTCAAAACTCATAACTTATGTCACTACTTCACATAGGTACCACGTGTATTAAATGTAAAAAAAAAAAATATTACCCCTCCTTCTTTTTTAATAACATTGTAAATCAATTATTATTATTACGACTGCCGTTATCGTATTCGATAGTCGGCTGACAGCAATGGAATTTCGTTTTTCCAAGTACCATTTAATAATTAGTATGGATTAGTTTAATCCATTTTACAATAGGGTATAAACGCTAAACCCGATCACTGATACTAGCGATAATCGTCACCATATTTTTTCTTTTAATAACACACAAAATCTATTAAAAATGTAGTTTTTTTTCAATAAAATATTTAAAGCTTAATAATTTTACTTCATCGCGCATTTATAAAGTAACCATAACAAAAATAATGGCAAATTTCTTTTTTTGTAAAAAGATTATAGGCGAATATTAAATTGATTTACGATTTCATTAATATTAATTATATATTACAGCTGGTGTGCAGATACTAGATAGTAATTTAATATTATAATCTAGAACTTAAGTGTTTATTAAACAAGGGGTTTACTTATACATTTTACGTTTCTAGATAAATGTTAGTCGTTACCGCGATTTGTTAAAAAAAATTATTATAATAGATAAGGTTGTTTTCTGCAAAAGTTAAATTTAATATTTTTTATTTATTATTTATAAACGTTTTTTTTATCTAGACCTTGCGCCTTTCCACTAAACTACTTGCGTGTCATAAGTTGCACTTGCATATTATTACACTTTAGTTTAAATTCAAGGTTTTTTTTAGTTCAAGGTGATGTAATAATTTCAGATCCTCGAAATCTGCCTTTAGTAACGTATTACATAACACTAAACTTTTGAAAATATCATAAATTATATAAATTTAATCTATTAATACTTATTACTCTAAAATTGTTAGTAGCAGATTAGTTTATAAACTAATTATAGACACATAAAACTTTTCTGAAAAATTCAATAATTTTGGGTGATATGATATATAAAAAATCCGTAATATTGCACAAAAGTAAATGCAGTTTTTTCATTTCTTATAACATTTCTTCACGAAAAGGTTTTACTGGTTCTCCCCATCTCCCAATAGTGCATATTTCTTTATTGTTTTTTCTCTGGGTTAGTAAAACTAGGAGTTACATTATTATAAATAAAAACTATGTTTTACCAATAGCTGAGGACGTCCGAGAGCAGTAAGTTTAATGGCAGTTATTCCTGTTCCGTAAGTGGCACCTGCAACACAATTTACAGAGAATTTAAATTAGAATGTACTCATTAACAGTATTTTGTATTGTCTAAAAGTGTTTTTTTCTCTTGAATACCGATGAATCCTTTTATAAAGTTAAAGCATCCACTTGAAAAAAAAATACAAATTCTAGTTGAACGACAGAAAATATGTTCCTACTTTTATTATTAACGGTTTTTGAAATATAAACATTTAGCACTTATTTTACCTTACTGAATAAGGCATGCTATTAATATTTCCTAATCTTTTGTAAGACGCATATAAAAACTTTGTTGGCTATTAAATAGTTATATTTACAATTTAAATTATTTAAGTTTATCCACTATAAATAATATTATATGCACTATAATTTTTTATTTAGCGTATGATTCTAATTTTTATAATATTATGCTTATCGGGTTGTAAAATTATTGAATAGATTATCGCCGGCTATCGAGTACAACAGCCATTAATGAAAAATTACGTTATTAATAAAAAAAAAAAAATGAGATAAACATCTCGATAATGACGAGATCTTTACCTAAGTACGGACGATAACATTACAGTAGTAGAGCAACCAGATAACAACAACACTATACTAGACTAGGTATTCATTGTACAATAATCGATGGCTATGGGTATAATATGCAAGCGATAAATAAAAAATAATAACTGTTAGTCGACACATATTCTACAAACTGCAGTTGTTTTGCAATAAACACGTTGAAGTTTAGAAGGTAAATGTAAGACATATAAATAATTAAAAATATAATAATTATCTCAACAAAGGTTGATTGCTCACATTGGAAAAATTAAAGTAGGGGGAAGTTTTTACTTTAAATGTTTAAGTACTTTATTTTTTTACCCTTAGAAAAACACCGCTTAAAAAAATGAGTATGAGTACCCTACGATTTCTGAAAAAATAATTGGGGTACTCAGTCCTCCCACGCCCCTCCTTTCCAATTCGAGCACTGGGTATTCATGTAACAACAATAACAACCATCACACATTAAGTAATATTTTTATACCTAGTTTTATTAAAAGTTTAATTTCATTTTTTGTTCTGTATCCTATGGCAATTCGGATTCCGGATAGTCAGGATAAAGCTGTTTCTCTCTTACAAGTTATTTAAATTGTTATAATAGGTACTAAAACAAATGGTTTGAGATCCAAACAATTTTTAAAAATGCATCAATTTGTTCGTAACTTAAAAGCTGCTTTGGAGTTATCCCAAAAAGTGCAAAGTAACAAATGTCATTTATCGAAAAATCTAAGAATTTATTACATCATTCTACTATCTGTCTTAAACATAAGGAATATTTTAATCTTAATCGCTTAAAATACCAATTTCTATTATAACACAAGTGTTCACAGTACTATCCTGATTAATTGAATTAATCGATATCAAATAATCCAGATAAATATTGTGTTAGGTTTATCTTCAGCTTACAAATGACTTACGCAGATTTGAATGAACGTTCATTTAAGTGTTAAACAAATATTTAAAAACCGTGTGATAACCACTCCTATACGCAATTTAATTTACAATGTTTTGTATTTAACAAATAATAATTTTTAAAAATTGCAAGTCGAAAGGATTAACAATCAAACAGCTTATAGAATTTAGAAAGTATAAAATGTATCAGAAAAAATTGTTTGATCAAATTACTACATTATTACACTCATAAAGATAACTTAAGTTAAATATTAAACAATGTCCAAGGATTTAAGAGCACTAGTGTTTTTGAAGAGTATAGTAAATAGTGTACAAGTGGATGGCACATGCCTGTTAAACTTAACATTATTTATTTAGATTGTAAAAACAAATAAAAACCTACGAAAAAAACAACAAAAATTAAAATAATTTGACAAATATTAAGAACGTCTCCGATTTTAGTTTTTACTAAAAGTGAATATTTAAATAAGTGTAAAATATAATTGAATAATATTATTATTTTCAATTGTGTTATGAATGTGACAAACATATAAAATATAAATATAAATTTACGTGATAAACAAATAACTTTTTTTTTTGCTTTCCATTACTATTTCTTCATCTCAGTATTACCAATGAGATGACGTACAGCTGACGGAGACTATTTTTAGTTACGTATGTTTAGTGAAAATAAAACTAAGCCAAATTTGACAATACTGCTTGTGTACACTCCCACAGACATAGGTCGTCTGCTTAGCAGTTGGCGTCGTGAGCGAATAAGGATGGTAAAACATTTTAAATTTTCTGACCGCGACAACATATAAATAACAACAACATGCAACGCGAAGATAATTAAGAATAGGATAGAAAAGGATTCATCGACTTACCTTCAGCTTTATATTATTAATTTTACGAACAACACAAATCACGGCAGGGAGATTATATCATGTAAACAACTTTATGGAAATCCGAACATAATATAAATGTCATTTGCTGTCCAGACAAGCTATTTTTAACTAATTTTACTCCGAGACTCGAGTGGCAGTCAAAAGGAAGTGTGAAAAGAGCTTTAGGAGAGCGGAAAAAGCGATGATATATCTAGAATTCTCAGCATATTGTACACTCAAAATTTACCGAATAATAAAATACAATATACTCTGTTCATCATCGTTGTAATTTTGCATACGCTAAATTGAACAACAGTCGGACGGTATTTCGTTATTTAAACAAAAACTATTAAAAAAAACACAATAATTAACATAACATAACATAATAAATAGAATATGAGTAGGTCAGCCAGTAATCAGCCATACTTATATCTATTAACGCTTATGTAACCCGACATAAATCAAACAGGTTCAATTACTCTTGTACTATTTATTCATTTCGATTTACTATATCATAAGACGTAAAAAAATAACTTACCGGCCACAGCGGCTAGACAATCTTGAAATACTTCGACGTTGCGTTCACATGTAGCTTCGTTCAAGTAAAAGTAAGTACGAGCACTCTGCACTTTGTACCTTCTGTCCGCAAATTGTTTGTCTACGTGATACTGGGGAAGAGATCCTCCGATTTTCTCCGCTGAAACAGTAGCTGTTCAGTGGCAACAACCCCGAACCCACGAGAAATACATGTTAGTAGGTTCAATCAAAACAAGCACAAAATTAGTTAGGTACTAATAAATTAGTGTATTAAATTCATAAAAAAAATCAACGGGAGATTGGAAATGTTGCTGAAATTAAATAATTTAGGGTTGGCTACATTATTTTCAATAAGCTTCACAAAAAATGTGTGGAATTCTTCACAGCGGTATTTCGAAAACTTTTACAGGGGATATTGAAAGGACATAAAACTTAGCTTGACTCTGGTGGCTTCTTAATTATTTCACTTCTAGAAGAAAAGATACTGGGAGTATTTATTTATTTAAATTCTTTACGTATCACAATATTATATTTTTTTGTAAGAATGTTCTAAAAAACTGCTAATAATAATAAAAAAAAATGTTCTGATAATGTAATGAAGGCATATCGAACACAAACAAATATCAATAAACAAGTAAAACTCGTAAATTATAGCTTGCTAGGAAAAACATCATCACCAATGATCAAACACTTATAATTTCCATTAAATATTACTTTCATGTATTTATAATCAACTTATATTACTGGTTTACCTTCTTTTTGTTCAGCAGTTTTGTCTTGTTTCTCTATTTCCGATAAGCTTGACCTACAAAAATAACAAGTCAAAACTATGTAATGAACTAATTAAAAAAATAGTAGGCACTTAAACTAGCTTATATATAGCATGATCAATAAACAACATGTAAGTACATATTTGCTCAAGAGAAATAGAAAAATCAAAGCTAAATATGTGAGTTTAAAATGACCACGTCATCAATATAGGTAAATTTATAAAAATAAATATACGAGTAGGCAGTGTTTCTGACGACTCGAGACTGATTACTAAACAATTAAATTAACTTAACGCTTAATTGCAAAATGTACAACAATATAAAAGACAATTAAATTCAATGATATTTTGTCAGTCGATTTTACCGTAACCACATGTCATTAGTCAAGAGTACTCGGTTGTCGCTGTCCGTCTACAAGGCTTAAGTTCGAGAGTTCGTTCATTTAACACCTTGTAGTCTCTCCTCTTTCCTCGTGCACTTGTCTTGCGATTCGTTCGCACAGTGCACATTCCTTTCTTAAAGTACCCGTGGCTTGCGAATCGTTCGCACCTCGTACTTTATCCTTCCTTCATCTCTCCAAGTATTCGTGTCTTGCGATTCGTTCGCACCTTATACTTTCCTCTCCACACACACGTGTCTTGCGATTCGTTCGCACCGTGTGTGCTTACATTTCCTTAGGTACTCGTGTCTTGCGATTCGTTCGCACCTTGTACCTATCCTTTCTCAATCTCTAATTCTTTTTAATCCAGTGTAAACAACGGCTCTTCGACATCCGCGAAGAACCCGGACGGCAATCCGTTACACTCTAGTGCTCTGACAAGTGCCAGTGCCAGTTCACCACCAGTGTATACATCGACAGTCTAGTGTGTTGTTTACTTTCTTTTTGTCTTACGACAATACATAGTTTAAAGAAATCAATATGTAATCGTTTACCTGCCAATTCTTTTTTTAATAGTCATAAATTAAAATGGACCCATCGTCTTTAAAAAACATCCCAAAAAATAACAGAATTTTTAGGTTTCAACTTTGATAAGTCTTTAGCGTATATAACTAGATGATACATTTTATAGATGTGTTCCAAGGATGAAAATTTAAAATATAGTATCAAATTTGCTAATAATTAGGTTTTTTTTTTAATTAGTCTAATCAGTACAAAACAAATTGTTCTCAATATTCTAAATATATATTGATTGGAACTGTAGAGAATACATTGTGCGTGACACGAATACAAAAAATTAGTTTGTACAACGAAATTTACAAAAAAAATACGCATGTAATTATAAGTATTTTTAAAGACCATTATACCGAACCTCAAAATGTAATCAAGTTTATTGCTAAATGATTTATTTATCTAGCGCTCAAATATTCCTTTAGAGGTAAGTGTCTTTGTAAAAAAAATATGTCAAAGTGTTAAAGGTCCTATTTTTTTACATAAAATATCTACATTCTACTCACACAGGTCACACTACTAATTAAATGAACAAGTAGTCTAGGCAATAGTACGATATAAGTTAGGTAACATAATAATAAATAAACATATTTTTTTATAACCAGTTTGATGCGCATAATATGATCAAAGTAATTTTACAACGGTTGGATTATTTTACTGGGAAGGATAAATGAGGCGCTTAGAATGCAAGGGGTATAAGTGACATTTTTTAAACTTCGTTTTCTGGTTATTTTAGTTACTTAGCGTATAATTGAGTAAATTTATCAATTTTTCGTTTACTACATTGTACCTAACTATGCGTACTTTCAATATTGGTTTTATAAAGACTCGTTATAATTTTATTTATTACGCGCTTTTCTTTTACTCACAAACACGTACGTACTTACGTTTGTACGGATATTTTTTAAATCTTTCAAAACTAATATAACCAACTTTCCAATATAGTAGAAGGCTGAAATTTAACACAGACACTCATTTTGGATGACAATACAATGCTCCGTCATTATATTGGGCCCCGAATATCCACTTCGTAAATGCCGGGGGGGGGGGTCAAATATGGGGATCATTTCACTAAAATTTCATGTGTTTTTCAAATCTTCCAAAATTAATTTAGTCATCTATTCACAATTATTAAGTACCTTTCATAGGACTAAAAAATAAATAAATAAAAAAAAACTTTTAAAAAACACGATTTTCTATAAACGTTTTTAATTTTTGATTAAAAAGATTTATTATTTAACAAAGTCCAAATTTATTGAGTTAAGCATTATGAAATGTATGTATCACAGATTAATATTAAGCCAAATTTTAATTACAAAAAAACTTACAATATAAAACATTATCTGTAATTTTATTTGGTAAATTTATTAGGGACTTTGTTGAATAGGGTCCATTTTTTTTTCTTTTTAGTCAAAAATTAAAGATGTTTAACATTATTTAACATTTTAGTTAATTCTCGGTTGTTTTCAAACTAAACTGACATTTAAAATAAAATGTGCTACAACTGATTGGTAAATTGTTCTTGTTGTAAAATTATTTTTTACTTTTTAGTTCACTTCTTTACTATTTTTTTAGAAAAGTTGTTTTTTTAATTTTTTTTTTATGCATGGAACAACTTTTACAAGTTAATTGATTTTTTTATGCAGTTTATAAATCAGGCACCGAAAGTACTTTATAGAGCGAGTTAAAAAGTTCACTCCTTTCTCTTTAAAATCTTATGAAAATCAAAATACGATACGCTATACATTTTCCAAAAATAGTCACTTGTTTAAGTTCAATTTTAGTCATAATATTACTTACAGACTTTAGACCGAAACAGTCCCACAACACCCTGCCCTCTGTATTTATAATGCGTAGATTAATTATTGTAGTTTAGATAAAGAAAGTGACTCAATAACGAACATAATTAATTACTTTGTTTAAGTATACATTTAAGTGGACAAAGAATAGGTAATATGTACCTTGTATTGCATATGAAGGGCACAGGGGAAAAACAGTAGTAGTTACATTATGAAAATTTTGGAGTATAGCAAAAACAAAGTATGTAAATTCCTCTCCCTCTTACATAAGAACAAAAAAAATCACATTAAATGCTTTTCTAATAAAAAATGTATTTATTTAAACAATCTATTGACATAAATAAAAAAAATTAATGGCATAAATTGAAAAAAAAAATGTTCATAATGGACAACTACCGTTTTTCTCCTGTGCCCTTCATATGCAATACAAGGTACATATTACCTATTCTTTGTCCACTTAAATGCATACAACTATTAAAATTTTGTGATTTTTTATTGGTGCAAATTGTAATTTGCACCAAGCTACATTTGCTTACAAGCTAAGCATTTCAATGTTGTTTATAATGAATGCCACAAAACTAATTTTTACCAGAATAAATACACATATCTGTTTACAATTAAACACTGTTAGAGAAAAATTGTATTATATTGAAACTGATGTTAAAGGAACTTTAGACTAGAATCTTAAGTTGTAAATTAATAACAATCAAAATAAACAGTTTATCATACATTATATAATTATAATAGTAATCTATTATTATTAATTATAATAAAATGTATATCATACTTACTCAACTTCTCGTTTTTCTGCTTCCTCTTGACTAATATCCTCTTCAACAGAATAATCCAATATTGGTTTGACACCAAACGACCTTAATCTCTTTAATGTTGGAACTATACGATACTGATCTTCACCAGCAACAAAATGACCATAAAATGTCAGTTTCATTATTAGAGTAAATAATTTTTCACCAAAAATAGCTTTACAGACTTTCATGATCTAAAAAATACATAAATGAACAATATAAAGTAAAAAAACTCAAGAAGGTTATGTAATTAAATTTGACAACTATTTTCCTACCAATTCATTTATCTTGAAATATGAGTATTTATGAAAATTGAATTTTACTATGGTTGTTTCATGAATACAAAATTACTTTTTTCTTGGAGGTCTGGGCAATACAGTAGGATATGACTGTTAATTATGTTGGATACAGGATATTTTTTTTTTGCATAACTAAGTTAAAATTATATTTTATTAAATTTTAATACCTTTAAATATTAAGACTTAAGTTAACCAACTACTTCCCATAAACCCTGATTTTTCTTAATAAAATGCAATTTTGTTTTACTTTACTTCTCTAATTCTATACAGATTACAATTAAAATCAAATTCTAAACATTTCAGTATTTAATAGCCTTAGCTTGTTTTTAATAACCATCAAGATATGACAGTTTAAATATGTAATAGTTTGCATACTTTGTTATACAACAGATAAAATATGTTAATAAAAAATACATATTTTAGGTGATTATAATCAACTTAAAACAGATTTAAGCCTTGATAAAAAATGTATCATTTTGTCATGACTAAAAGTAGATTTTAACAGTTTGGAATTTAATTATTAAAATTTAATTATATTATAAGATGAAGTTTTATTTTAAATCAGACATTATAAATTTCATAAATTATTCTATTAATAAAACAAAACAACTTGGAAATTGAGGCTAAAAATATTGGAAATCAATTTAAAGAACTATATTTATATTGAAGTTATTAACATAAGTATTTAGTTTCCTCTTAATACTTATCTTTTTTTTTTAAATTATTCAAATTAATATAATCTTGTAGTTAAACTTTAATCAATTAATATAAATTCGAGCCTAAAAATTTACTTCTCGTCGAAGATACTAATAATAAGGATAACTACATCCTTGTACTTGACCCTGAAATTATAAAACTATGATCATATAAGTGTAACTCATACTTAAACACAGGAAATTTAAAATAAATATTTTATCATTTAATAACCGTTAAGACTACCTGATAACCTTTAATTTTAGAATAATTAACATTTGATACCATAAATCACATTAGTACTAGAAACTGTTTACTAATTATTCAATAAAAGAAGAAAAGTAAAATCATATTATTTTTTAATTACCTACTATAATTTTCCATAATAAGAGTACATAACACTATAGATATAGACAATTAAACTTAACAAGGCATTAGGTAAAATTGTTATTGTCGAGAGTTATGTATAGTGTTTGTTGAATTAAGTATCCAAATAAATAAATAAAACATACCAAAATTAAAATTAAATAAAATGTTTAATCAGATGTTTCTTCTTAGCACTTTTGACATTGTAATTTGTGAATGATTATACAAAAAAAATTAAGTTTAATTTTAGAAAGTCTTAAATCTTTTCTATAGAGGCTAGCATTTTTTTATTTATTGTAAGACATTACATTAAACTGATTTTAACACATTTTTTTTAGATAGATTTACCTAATGTTGAAGAGGGTATTGAGTATTAGTTTAGCACAATATTAAATTAGGTATGTGTGTAGGATATATATGGGTTTCATGTGAAAGTGGATTTATATCATTATTAAAATTTGTATAGACATTGAATAATTAAATATATTAACTATTAATTTAAACAATCAATTAAGTACCTACCGGTAATCAGTAATGCAATAAATCAGAGTGAGTTAGACCGCAAGGTCTTTAACTTACATACAGGCCTCATTTATATACAACCCTGGGATTAATGAAAAGTAATTGTTCTCAAATTAACATGTGAAACAGTTATTCAATGTCACAAACTATTGGTTATCAATAAGGTTTTTACCTGCATATTATTCTCGACAAGATACGAGGATGAGCAAAGCTGGTACACTAAGTAAGCTCGAAAAACTTCCCAGGTGGTCTTGCTTTTGAAAGCTGCCTCTGGGTTGGCAAACGATGTGTCCAAAGGATCCCATTTGGTTTTGACACTGTCAACAGTTGCCGCAATGCTGTTGTTTCTGCGCTGTTGCTGATCAACCGATTGTGATCCATTTGAAAGCGATCGTACCAGTTGAGCATAAACTTCGTTCCTGATGGGTTCTTGCAATAAAAGTCGACTGCATTTACGAGATGTGGATAATTTCAGAAAAGCCATTTAACACGGACACTCGGTAGAGGGATTTGTCCCTTTTCAAACTGTTTTAGAATAGCTCTATGTTAGTGATATTATTACTTTTTTTCTTTAAGTCTGGCGATGGGTACTGAACTAGCGCTACTGGGTCGGTTGAGGCCAAAAGGGTTGTGGACGGAAAATGGACTAACGATGAATTATTAGATAGCGCCGTGTCAATTTGGACCTCGAACACACTGGCACACGGAGATTGTGGTCTGTGAAGTCAGCGGTCAGACGCAAAATCGAAGATTTCTACGGTGGCGCGGCGACGGCGGTTCGAGCTAAACCAGAGAATCTATAACACGGCGAGTGCTGGCGGCGGAGCAGAAACCACAACGCGCAGCAGCGACGACACCAGGGAAAAAAGGATTTCTCGCAGTAAAGTAACGTGTATATATATGAATGTTTTGGTGTATTTATCGGACTACGTATGCGCGTGTCCGTATGCGTACAACAATAAATGTATGTATTATCTAGAGTTGACAAACGCGCGCACGGTCGGCAGCGGATCGGCCAGACGTGAAGCACGGCTGACGGCGTTAAAGCGCCGGTCAAAAATTAAAATGTGTTGCATACGATATGTCACAGTGTTGCCGCCCTTTGCTCTACCCTAATAGCGATCTCGTGTATCGGTGACACTGGAAGTTACTATTCACTATTCAGTATTCTCCCGTAGAAATAAGAACTGATAGTAGGTACTATAGTACTATAGTAGATGTAGCGCTCTGGCTCGTGAGGTAATGTGGTTAATTCCCTTCTGATTTCGGTGGTTTGGTCACAGAATAGATAAAAGTTTGGTAGACTACTGACCACGCCATTTTATACTTTTTTTGGCTACTCAATTTTGAAAACAAACCAACCCAAACCCACAGAAATCAATAATATATTATCTTTATGATTTATCTGTGCCCAAACCCAATTAGGTACTATAGGCTTTTAGAAAAATTTAAAATCCTTATATCTTAGATTATTTACTTAATGATGTAACCTTAAAATAACTTTTTTTTTAAAAAAAAGATCAGCGGAGGTCGTCCTGCATTGGCTGTTTATAATGATTCTACGTATAATAACTATGCGTCACAGAAAGTCGTTTTTCGGTTTTACGTTTGTCCTCTCTGAAAAATTTGAGTGCTGTCCATTATGAAGTATCCATAGGCTAAATCACACATATATAACATTTAAAGGTAAGATTAAGGAATTTATCTCTAGGATTTTTATTATCTCCTAGATTGATGGAATTATTTACTAGGAAGTCAATGCAATATAATATGAAAAAAAAAGTATATAATATATACTTCTTTTACAATATACTATATTATATAGATAGCTTTAATTAAAACAAGATAATATATTTCGTTATTATAATTTAGATATATTTTATACTATTTTTTATAGAAGTAATTAAACCAAAAACGATTTATACCTATAAAATTATTTTTTTAAACTCGCGGTATAAAAAAACGAGATCCTAATATCATAAATGTGCATCAATTATGTGTAAATCATAATTTAGGATTTGAATTTTCGAACTTCTATTGTGCTAAGATCCTATAAATTATAATAAAATATAATATGTATAATACTATTATGTAGGTACTAGGTAAGTAAGTATGCAGTATAATACAAAAAAATTGACAAGTATGCAATAGCATGTCATAAAAATTGTGTGATTTTAAATAGGTAGGTAGGTTCATTGTTATCCCGCTGTTGTCAAGTTCTTCATAAAAAAACTATAAAAACACGGAAAATTCTAAAAATTGGATTACATTTACAGCTAGAATAGCATAGGCCTTACCCATTTTAGATCACGGTCTTTAGTCTTCTGTTTTATTCATATAAGACCGTGCCTAAGCCCTCTACCCTAACGCCTTAGATCAATGTGTAATAAATAATAATAGACGAAATGGATGTTGGTTCTAGCCAATAGCTAAAAAAGAATAGTGAACGATAAAATTAAAATTTACTTGCTAAAATACAGCAACTGCCTATTGTTTTAATGAGATAAAGACAAATATCCATTATCCGGTACTCAGTATCGACTTGGAAGCTGTTCCATGACAAAAATTATTTAAAAAACATCATAGGCATAATCAAAGATATTATTTTGTAATCATGTGTATTTGCCGATATCTAATCATTGATAATTTAAAATTTGGCGGTTAAATATCAACCAATGGAATGAGGCGAACTATTGTAGGCGTGGTGCGCAAACTTTGCTCAAATACGTATGATTGCATTATACCTATTTATTTTATCATGAGTAATAGTTATCTGTGAAGGAGTGATTACAATGTCGAATTAAATTATAAATATTTCATTATTGTTTATTTGTATAAACATTAAACATCAAATAGTACAGTAAAAATTTAAGTATTTTATATTTGATTTTTAAGTAGTATTAAATATTAGAAATTTATAATTATTAAAATTACTTTATTAGTATTACCTACCTACCAATGTTTGTTATTATCATAGTATAATGTCCCAAAATTTAGAAGTTATAGATTGTTCTGATGATGAAAATTATGGATTTAAAAAAAATCAGGTTTTTATAACAGTTTGTTTATATATTCAACATGAATAATTTGTTGGATCACATATTCTTTAAAATTTAGGTAAACGAGTGGTATCCAGAACCATTGGAAATATATAATTTATATAAATCATTAGAATCTGGAAATCCATCATCATTAAAGTTAGAGTGGACATGTCCTGGACGAAGAGAGCTCACACCTGAAAGTAGTCGAGCTTCTCCAAAAATTAAAATTGAAGAGTGTGAAATTTCCGAGTTAATATAATGCCTTTACAATTTATTATCAAAACTTAAGTGTTGATTGTATCACTTACATTAAACAATTTTTAGGTCAATGGATCAGTCCGATTTTGATTTTGAAGATGAAATGTCCAACATGAATTTAACTCGTTTGGATTGCAAAAAAGAATTAAAAGGAAGTGCTAAGAAGAAGACGACTAGTCTAGATGCAGTTCTATCAAACATGGCTAGACATCAAAAGTTGGATAATATGCTTGATGAAAAATTTGATTCATTATAATTATAATAGTTATTATAGATGATATATAGGTAAATATAAGTTTTGAACTTTCTATTGCTAAAATTTCAAATATACAATTTAAAAATATTAAAATGTAATGGTTACACAGTGCTGAAATAAATGGGTAGATTGGGGGGGGGGGCAAAAAATCCAGCCTATTTCTTGAGCTAGCATGATGCCATTAGATCTATGTATTTTTTTTTATGTATGATGTCTTTACTCATATTATATTGGGTTACTGACTGTGTATGAAATTCCACAGTAGATTAATACCAGTCACATAGTAATGTATACAATTTTTTTATGTTAATAAAATTTTAATAAGCTGCTTAAAAACATCAAATTTATAAATTTATACATAGTAAATAGGAAAATATTTATGAGTATAACAGCTTTTTTAATAATAGCCATTAGCTTGATACCTATAAACTATTTACTAAATGATAACTAAAATAACTTTAATAAAATAGCAAATAATTCAATTATTTTCAATTTATCGAGAATAAATTTGTTTTTTTAAACAAAATTTAATTACATTATTTAAATTTAAAATGATAAACAAATTGATATTATGTAATTTAACAAAGATGATTAATTATATTTATTTTCCTGTTAAATAATTATTACATTTTGGATACTGGTTTGATAACTTAGCACTACCATACAATTTACATTTTATAATACCAATAATTAAGTAATTATTGTTATTAAGTTATTACTTCCATAAATGTGTTTGTATTACCAAAAATATTTTGTTCTTATAATACTTTTATTACATACTATATTTTAATTTTAAATTTTTCACTTATTATGCAATTATAAAATAATATGTTATTAAAATATAAATGAAGTATATTAATGCTATTGATATATTCATAGACTTTTGTTTTGAACTTTATAGTTAATGTCGGTAGTTAATGATTTGATATTTACAATGTCAAGCTAATTAAATTTATTTAAGTTTCATTTGGGATATTGAAATTTACAAATATGCTTTATTTAAAAAGCTGGCACTGAAGCTGTTTTTCATGAATTTTTGCAAGTTTTTAGAAACATTAATTTCTTGAAAACTACATAACCCATATAAATGATTCTTTTTTTTTTGGAGACCCATTCATTAAAAAATGAAGAAAAACTCAATTTTTGGTGCTGATGAAAGAAATATACATTTCATTTTATATTTAAAATTTTCCCACCTCTCCCACCATTATTTTTAAATAAACGAGCACAGATGGATCTCCTACCCCCAATTTACAAGAACTTGTGAAACTGATCACTCAATCTTTCTTAGATCTTGAATAAATATACCTTAAATGGCAAAGACCTTGATTTTACAGGAGATGTTTGTTTCTAGTATACTATTACATATGAATAGTCGACCTTAACAACTTTAAAAATTAGCATTCTTGACTTAAATAATATTTGTTATTGCATAACATATAACATAGAACTGAGAACATAATTAAAAAAAAAAAGTTACAGTCCACTTAAAGCCTAACAGCTAAAATTATTATACATGGAAATGTTTTAGCCTGCTGGCTCCTCAATAGTGATTATTTCTGATCTATAAGCTCCTTGCAATTTATGGTGATAGTATAGTCTTAATTATATGTTCTGACCAAACGTTTTTTAAATACAATTTTTCTCTGATAAAACCAATATAATATAATATACTTAAATTTTGTGATGAGTAATGACTGTAATAAATACTAACAAATCTATTAATAACTATAAATTATAAAATGTATGATAGTGAAAAGAGGTTTTATTAATATACAAATTTTAATTAATTATAAATGCATTTATTTAATTTTACAGTAGATCAATATTCTAAGAGCAATGGAACACAAAATAGTTTCATCAACCAAAAGCCGCTTGGGATGTTCTGTATGTCTCAAAACAAAGCCATTTGTTGATAAAAAATTGAAGTCATCTGATAGTGTAAAATATGAAAGGAAAGACTTAATAGTCTCTAATAAAAATGACATTAAAAATTCTTTTAAGACACATAAAAATACTTCAAGTGTAAAAAAAAAAGTCTCTGAATGTTATTGTAATCAAATGCAACAGGTTTATTCTGATCCATTACCAAAATTAGTTTGCTCAAAGCAATTTAATAAACCAAATCTCAGATACATAGAAAAGGGTTGGTTAGAAGATTTACGAGATTTCAGACAAAGAAATTGGTTTGATTGTCATGCCAACCCATATTCAGTAGCTATTGATTTGGTTGGATTAAATGGAAATTATTCTCTTTGTAAGTATTTTTTTTGTTAACTATAAAAGTTATTTTACAGTCAAACATTCTCTGACACTATTTTGAAAGGGGTAGACTATTATACAATAATACTATGTACATTTACACATTTTATGATTAAACATATGATAATTACAAAAGAAGTTCTTGGGAAAGGGAACCTTCTATTACCATATATGCCACATAATATGTCTCCAATTAACGTTGTATTAAAAATGTTAGACTATATCAGGTCACCCTGCAGATTTTTAATGGAAATATGTTACTATTTTTAAATATTTTAACATAATTTCCATGGATTAGTGGAAATATGTATAATTAACTTATCAATTCAGTTCAAATGTATTTTATTTAATAAAACCCCTCCACCTACCCCATTCATCTACAAACTTCCTTGATAATTCCCCCATCACTCGTCTAATGAGGACCGCAAATAATGACCCTTCCTTTTCTTTTTATCAACAATAATTATCTTTTATAATAAAGTGTAATGTAATGTAATAATGTAATACTATATACATATTGTAATTTGGGTTTGACCCGTAAAATAAACAAAATAAATAAAACAAACATCATATTATGTACACAAACAGTAAATCTCAAATTTTGAGGTGCACCTCATGCAGCTATGACATCACAATTCGAACAAAGTTAAAAATGGATTTTCATAACTGACTTAAGTATCAATATTACCTTGGTTCAAATGTTCATTAATAATTATTGCATATATATTTTTTATTTGTTTGTTAATAACCATTAAACATAAATAACAAAATATTAAGAGCATATTTTATTTATTATTATAATAATAATTATTATTATTGTTATTATTATCATTACAAAGTAATAGTTTATTATTTAAAAAAATGTATAATTTTTTTTTCTTTTTAGCTAAATTAAATGAACATGGATATATTCCAAAGAAAACTGCCCATAAATATTTTGATGATATATGCTCCAATTTTATTAATTCAGAAATGGAGTATCATACTTGTAAATTAAATTATAGACATAATGAAGAAAAAAATGGTCAAAAGGAGTTATTTGTAGGTACATTTTTACAAATATAAAAATAACGTTTTTAAATCTCATTTATATGTTACCTAATAATATTTATCTTTATACAGATAAAAAATTGAATACACGTGAATTGCTACAAAAAAATTGGATTCCGCCTTCATCATCATTTCATCAACTTCTATAATATCTATAATAATCTTTTTTTTTTTGTGAATGATAGTTTGTCTGCAGTGACATACTAAAGAGGGTTTAGAGTTAGCAAACGCTTCCCTGAAATTTTAATTTATAAAGTCTTGTATAAAAGTTAATTGGTAGGTATTAGATTAAATATACATAGATAGACTAGAGTCATATAAAGTACAACAAATGTTATGATACATAGAATGCTTTTATTATAGTAAATCCTTAAAGTTCACTTACTATCACTATTTAATATTCAATGTGTGCCACGGTTTGTTCTAATAACTTCCAATAATAATTTCATTATTGTTTTAGCTTTTGATTATAAAACAAAGGTCATAAAATTAAATCACAAAAATGTCAAGAACCCTGTTATAAATTTTGAACAATTGAAAAAACCGATCTTGAAGTATTGGCTTCAATTGATGTTGTTTATTTCTGTGTGTATAATATCTTTTTTTTTTTTACAGTACTTTTACTTTTATAAAGTATATTGGTATCATTGTGTAACACTTATTTTTAATACAATATACCTATTTAATATTAAATATATACATATATTTATATTAGTAAACCATATACAAAATATGGTTACACTACCAAAAGGCAAAATACAAATATGTTAGGTAGCTTAGCTTATAAGATATTGATATATTTATTTTTATAATTATTGATTTTCATTTTTAATTATGTCTTAAGATTTCTATTTGTATAATATTAAATTGTATTTTTTTTTTCAATATTAAAAACCACAGTCTTTGGGATTCAAAGTTTATCAATATTATACTTATTAATCATGTTCTTGAATATAATTTATATTATGGGAAAAGCTAGAAACCAGCTAGCACTTAATAAGTTAATTAATTCATTTTAGATGTAATATTATTTTTAAAAAACCGATGGTGATAATAGGCAGGATGATCTACTAACCCACTTTGGCAGTTTGGTGTAGCCAGGATTTATTAGTGGGGGGGGGGGTATTTACAACATACATAAAACATATATTTAATTTTGTTGAATTAAAAAAAAAAATTGAATTGCACACCGGAATTTTTTTGTTTTGGTCCTATAGGTGTATTATAAAAAGGACAATGTAGGGGTTACTACATTTAACCCCCTTGGTTACGCCACTGACTATTGGATTGGATATTGCTTATTAGCTAGTTATTGACTTAAATTGTTGCATCATAAAATGAAAATGTCAATGTCATAGATCTATTAATACGCTTGATGATTACACAATATCACAGATATTTCTGAGATGTCTAATATATTTATTTATAATAATTTATTATCAAAATAAATATACTGAAATATAATTCATAACAATAATTACAGTTTAAAAAGGAAGTCGTAATAAATTTAAATAATTAGAAATTTAAAATCAATCGAATATCGATTATTCTTCTTATCGTGTCCCAAAATATATATTATAGTGATTTTTTAATCATAAATATATATTTTTTACTTTTTATTGTTTGAATTTTACTATTGTTATTATTAATTACTAAATTAATTAATTTAAATTAGTTGTTCAAAAGTAGTATCCTAATAATTAATTACTATTATAGTTTTTAAGTAACACTGAGATTCATCGGTTTAGTTTTTAAATTTTACGGTAGTTGAAACGTAAAACTGCGAAATTCTATTGAGTTCAATAAGTTTTAGAAAAGTACTGTTTGGGATTTACTACGATATGGGATGTACGGTACTGCGGTGGTCGGTAGCAAATTGCCTTAACTTGGCTGGCAAAAAGCAATCGCCGGCTGCATAATACATTATACATATGCATTCTGCTATGAAATATGAATTATGCATAATGAACATAATATTTTATAAACTACCACAACATAATAGTTAGTACATACGAGCCTCCGGTGACCAGTACACGGTAGTGGATCAGGTTGGCAATACTGAATGTGTTGCTGCTCTATCGAGAATCGATCACCGCCGCTTCGCCTCCGTTCCCTACTCTCAGTCATCCCCTCCTGTTAACCATCGGTTCCAGGCTCACCGTTCACCCGTAAATTTTAGTGGTTTATCTCTCGGTGCTGTCTCTTGTCGTTTTCTTTATTTTATTTTATTATTATTATAATTTTTGAAATTCTCAAATAGGTGTACACAGTTTACACGCTCACGCAGGTATCGTAAACTATTTTTTTTAACCCCTTAAAGGTCCCTCCACCAATGTTTACGCTCACTTACGCGTGATTCCCGTTGCCGGCAAGCAATTGTCGATCGCATCAAACGCAGCAACCGCCGCCCCCGTTAGTGTACGCGAAACCAAATCCTCCCCCCAAAAAAAAATCACCGTTACTAACAACTCGAATACCAAGTATTTAGATAAAAAAGACAACGACAAACTTAAAAATGGAAACGCAGGATACCAGCATGACGAATCTGATAATCAACTACCTTCCTCAATCAATGACTGACAAAAAGCTCCATCAAATGTTCACTCAGATTGGACAGATTGAAGCGTGCCGAGTGATGAAAGACGTCAAGGTAAATACCATCAGTAGTCTGTTAAAAATAAAGCTTATGGAGTACTATAATTTGAGTAAACACAATGTGTATAACACCCCGTCAACTCCTGGGGTTTTCGATCCATAATATTTGTTAATTTAAATTTAATGATATATTTCTCGTCAATTCTATTTGGGTAACTTAAGTTCAATGATGATAGTTGTTTAAGTCAAACTTTGTCAGTTTCAAGTTGATCATGGTCATAAATACAAATCATAATCTATTTGCTTACAAAACAAAACATAAGCTGTAAAGTTTAAAGTTATGTAGTTGGGAAACCACTAAAATTAGATATTTTAGGATCAGTTAACTATCTATTAATTATAATATACCATTAAGCTTCAATTGTTTAACACATTTTTGTTTAAATAATTTTAGTTAGGTAAATTAGTATAATAAAAAGTCCCTAGTCTTAATTATGATACTATAAATATATATTTTTTACAAAGCTTAAATCATGTTAAACTGATAAAGAAATTTAACGATTTGTGGGTAATTATAACTAATAATAGTTTTTAATTGACATTACAATTTTGTTGCGTTACTGATTATTATTAGCTTATACTTATGATTTAAAGGTTTCTCCTATGATGTACAAAAATAAATGCATTAAATAAAAATTATTATACCTAGTACTATTGCTATTTTTTCATAATTAAATACATCATAATTATGTATTAAGTGTATAATTTGTATATGTATGTTTAAAATTACATTATATATTTTCAGACTGGTTACAGTTATGGCTTTGGTTTCGTTAACTTTGTTCGGCCAGAAGACGCATCTAGGGCTATTGAAGTGATGAACGGTCTTCAAGTAGAAAATAAGCGTTTAAAAGTATCGTATGCCCGACCTGCAGGAGAGGATATAAAGGATACAAACTTATACGTTCAAAATTTACCTAGGTACTTATATTTCAAATAACATAATTTAATAGCATTTTTTTTTAATACATATGTATATATATATTTATATATATTTTAGGTCGATAACAGAAAGAGAACTTGAAGAACTGTTTGCTCCTTACGGGAAAATAGTTCAAAAAAATATACTGAAAGACAAGTACAGTGGGCTTCCTAGAGGAGTAGCATTTGTTCGGTAAGTAAAGCGATTATATTTTTATCTTTTTTTACTACTTAATCAGTAGGTTAGGTTATTATTATTCGTATTACATTTAACATGTGATTTAATAATAGTAATAATTGCAATGATTGAAATTTGTTTAGAGTATTTGTGAGGGTTGCTACAAAGTTATTTGCTTAATAGCGTGTTTTTTGTTTTTTTTCTAAAATACTGGAATTTAGGTTCTTGTTTTGGTTCCACACTCTGCTTCAGAGTTAATAAATTACCTATTTTTTCCCCCTTATATTCCTATATGAAAATTAAACAATAGTTTTGTTTATATTAATACTATTTTGTAATTATCCATTTTTTTTTTTTTTAATAGATACAACAAAAAAGAAGATGCCCAAAAAGCTATTAATCAGCTAAATGGGGTATTGTTGGAAGGCTGTACAGAGCATTTATCAGTGAAAATTGCTGAAGAACACGGCAAACAAAAAGCAGCTTATTTGGCCGGTCTTCAAACCGGCTTAGCGCACAGAGGTACAAACGACACCCTCACATACTTAAGCTACTAGATAACAAAAGAAAAAGAAAAAAACCTAAAACTCTTCCCCCCCATACCAAATAACTGTTTCAATGTCTTCGAGTTACATGTCATAGATCAGAAACAAAACTTAATACCTTGCATACTGGCACTACGGGTTATGTAAGTATCATTAAAAGTTTCTAAACCTAGCCCTATAAAGATACAATATAGAACGTGATGCCATTATTATTTCAAAAACAAAGGGTTGGGTTTATGTTCCTGGATGGAAAGCTTATAATATTGTAGCATAGTTTATGCATGTTATTATTATAAAAATACAATAGGTGCTAAAAAAATAAAATAAATTATATCATGTTTCAACAATTTTGTATTACAAGTGAACTACTTCTGTAAAAATTAGTTAAGAATTCAAATAGTTTTGTTTATTAAAATAATATAAGATGGCATGTTAAATAGTATTACATTAATTAGTCAGCTATAGATTTTCTTAGCACAAATAACTTATATTAGATAATTGAGATAATTAAGATCAATTATCTGAAATTGAATTATCGCTTTTACTAATCAGATAGTAAGACAGAAAATTGTATTGTTTTTAATAGATTTATCATTTTTTATGCTGTAAAAGATATAGTATTTAAATTAAATTAACGATTTAATATAAATAGTTATAATTAAATGTATATAAATATTTATAAATATTTATAAAACTAATTTTGTTATTAGCTACCTTGTATATTATAACTAAAATTCACAAGTGTATAATTTGTTATTGCTATAACAATTGTTATTTATTACATGATTTTAAATTTAAATGAAGTATGTTGAAATTCTTGTTTTGACTAATAATTACCTTTTTGGTATATATTGTTTGTATAAAATTTAACTTATGTGAATAATTATCGGGTGTAATCATGTCTTCCGTTTTTTGATGATATTTTGGGACTCATTGCAAAGTATATCCTTGGAGCGCTATTCACCATACCGCTGTTGTATTTATGAAAAACTGAAGACATGCATACGTTTCTAAAAATAGTCTGCTTAATATTTAATTCTATGTATGAAGTTTTAACATACATTTTTGACTACTTATTGTTATACATAATGTGTAGCGAAAAAAAATAAGTACAATTTACCCTTAATTGGTTTAACTTAAAAGAAACCCTTTCAAAGGGGTCTATTAGACCCTGTGATACCAATTAAGGGTTAAATTTAGTTGATAATTTAGTCGTAATAATTAGACTTGTATCATTAACGGTATTTAGCACATTATGTTATTTTGTGGTCCTTATGTTTTCTAAAACTATTAATGAAAGAAGGACTCAATTTTTGTTAATGGTTATTAGTAAATTGTACCTAGAACTATTTTTGCATAATTTGCTACATTATAATAATAGTATTTAACATGTTATCTTGAAACCTTTTCTTATTTCTATTACAAATACTTATTACAAGTTTGCTTAAAACCTTAAATTGCCTGTACGAAAATTCATCATGATAAACAGTATTTGGAATATAAATAAATTTGTTATAACATTAACATTCTGTATATTTTTATATAGTTAGTATTTTGAACAGTTTTTTTAAGTGCCATCAGTTAGCAATGAAATTAATAAAACTTGAACTGTTTTATTTTATTATTGTACAGATACATTCAGAATTATTGATCTATAGAAAAATATTAGGAAATACCACATATTATCGGTATTATTCAAAACTCAATTTTTTATAACTATGTCTAAAACTCATATTTAGTTTTAAATACCAAATTTTTCTATGTCAGCTTGTTATTCTAATAATTGAATTAAAGAATTCTATAACCTTAATTTTCATCAGCTTTTAATTATACTATGCACTCTTATTGCCCAACCCTGAAATTAAATATTTCTCCCATTAAAAAGAAGCTTTTTTCTTTTGCTTTTTTTTTTTGCGCTTTATGGCCTAAAGGTTTTTTTTTAGACCACTTTTTTCTCTACGACGTTTAGTATGATGTTAATAATTAAATAATTGTTTATTATTTGAATAGGCGCAAAACCATCTCAAAACGTTCACCAGCTACTCAGAAGCAACCACACTGTTGAAAAATATCCCAATGCTTTGATACAACCTATAGATAGGCACAATATTGGTGCTGTGCGTCAGGACAGGGCTAGCTACCGTTATACACCAGTCGGCATGTTTCCACCTCACGGTTATAATGTTGGTATTGGCAATGGAAACATGTATTAAATATGGTATGCAATAATCTTCACCACTGTACAGTTTTTTAGGTTTTTTTCTTTTGAAATGTAAATGAAATTAATATTATATAAATATATATATTCTATCTTTATAATATATAAAAACATGCTCTATAATTTTTTTTAACAAAAAAGTAAAAATAATAAAAACAAATGTAGATTTCATTTATAATTATTATTTAATTTTAGTATAGAAATTTTGTAAATAATTTCAAGTAACAAATCATTTGTATGTTATAATTCTAAAAAAAAAGTATACACAAAACTTATCAATATTATTTTTATTATCTTCGTCCTTTTTTATTATAGCCGAGGTACCTAGTCTTGTAGTGAAAAAAATAAGACTGCATTTATACATAAATTTTAATGTTTTTCTACCTTACTCATTTTTTTTTTTTAAAAACCCTTGCTATTTGCAATAATTTATCACTTTGGATTAGGATTTGATAATATTGTACAAGCTTCAAGTGAATATACTGAGGTATGATTATGTGTATTTACAATTTTTTTTAAATTAAACATTGTTAATATTTATATGTTAGAAATTTTGTTTTTAAAATAAATAAAATTGCATGTGTAACTTACATACATATAACAAATACCAAATTCACTATATTTTTTTTTAAATTTCACTATTGTTCTAAGGAATGAAGTCTGGCTTTGACACAATGTTTTACAGATTATTTCTTGTAGTGTCCTTAAAATAATTGTGTGGAATTTGAATTCCATTGGAATAAAATAAGAACTATTGTAGACTAATGGATAGTCAGCATATTTTTTAATGTTCATTTTAACACCAGTATTCAGTATGTCAGTAAGTTTTGTAATAACATAAATATTTACATGGCATGCCAAACATGACCAGTTGTAAGTTTTTAATTATTATACTCACCAAGTTTCTAAGTACCATTATATCATAAAATGTAGAGAACCCACTTTTATATCTCGGATTAATAATTTTTTTATTTATCTATCAAAATATTGTTTTGATAGATTCTAATATCTATGTTATCTTTATTATGGTTTTATTATTAAATAAGAAAATAATTTGTTAAATAAAGCCACAAATTTAATCTTCTGTCATTTGTATACATTGTGAGGGATTTAATTTATTAAGCTTTAAATATATTATGTTTATAATGTCTGATACTAGTACTGCAACTAAATAGTGATATAGACGCAAGATTTAAACAAACTGTTATATATTTTACATCCTATAAACAGCAAATTGTGTTTGGATTTTACCTAAAGACTTGATTTTTGACCAATTAATTTTGATGAGTCATTTAGAACATTTTGTAACAAATTGTCTACATAATCTTCTCATATAAAGAAAATATGATAGTCAGATAAATTTTAATTTAGTAAAACTCTTGGTAAACACTAACTCTTGGACACATCATCCACTTCAAATTTGATGCAGAGCTTATGTTTACTTAAAAACTAACTCAATTGTATCGTTTTCTGCCACATTGAAATACTGCAAGAGTTTAATGTGCAATAACCTTTATTTTAATACAATAATTATAATAAGACTCTTTAAATTTGTAAATACTAGATTCAAGTATTCGTTGTACCATTATACAAATTCACATAATCTACTAAACACAAGTATTAACACAGTTCACAATCTAAATAATGATGGAGAACAGCTCTATAACTGACTGATCGGTGCTTAGGTTTATCTATTTGACAACTCGTCCTCCCAAAACTATCTGTTTATTTATTTTAGAATTCGTAAAGAACCATCAATTATAAGTGGAAGGTAAAATTGTCACCTACTGTTAATAAAACCTACTACCTACCTATGGAAATCACGGTATATAATACAATACTAGTAATTATTTTCATAATTTTAAAATTATTTTACTCATACACTTCTAGCTTCACGAGATACATTGTTTAAATTCTTAAATAATAAGTACTAAAAATTGCTGAAGTTATAAGTATGTATATTTTACACTTGACTTACTTGTTAGTTATTAGCTTACCAATCTTTTATACAAATTAAATTAAAAACTCGTTTTTTTTTTTGTTTTAACTGTTTTTATATTCAATAAAATAATTATTATACAAAATGTCCTTATTCATCCCCTTTAGTTACCCTTGTGTAAATTACTTGGGCATGGTGTTGTATCACTTGCTTGATAAGACCTAAACAAAAAAATTTAAATACATCACATTTAGCGGTTCATTAAATTGTTATTATAATTATGTAATACTGACCTTTTTGACACAATTCATCTAAAGCCTTTCTTGCTAATGATCCACGAACCTTCAACCGTTCACTGACAACAGATGGGGTAATAAGCTTGTAGGATGGAACTTCTTTTAACAATTTGTCATATGATGCTTTGTCGAAAAGAACTTGGTTGTTTAACTTATCACGGACTTTTCCTTTGGACCACTTCTACTTACAAAAATACAATTTTACAATGATACCAATAAAAATACATTAGAATTTCAAACCTTCTTCTTGGCTTTGCCGCCAGATCCTCCCTCCTTCTTCTTTTGGGTTTTTTGTGGCTGTTTGGACGAGCCCTTTGCGTCCTTCTTAGGCGGCTAAAATTTAATTTGTGAGACATTAATAGCTTATAATAATACATTTAATACACTAAAATAAACCTAGTCTCGTGTTCTCTAAATCGCCTTACACTAAAAAATGAAGTAAGTCTAACAATCAAATAACGACTAATGGTCTCATTTGCACAAAATTTAAAAGTAGTTCAACAAAACAGAAACTGTAGGGGTTAAATTATAGTATAATTTTTAAGTGCAGTTTGGATAAATGACCATTATTGATTTGTGGCCATCGTGTACACGACCGTCACATGGTTTTAAGAAAAATTGTAAAAGCCGGAGCACCGGCTCTTGTTGGAATAGGATTTAGTTAATCCAAAATTAGAAAATATAATACATAAATGAACATAATTAATAGAATACAACTTACCATTTTTCTTTAAATTAACCCTAAAAATTAAACGTCAAAAAACACGCCGACGATCCGCGAAAAATTTTACTCGAAAGAACCTAACAACAAGACATGAGGTGATGGGAGATTGGGTGATGAAGGAGGAGGAGTCAGAGAGTGACAACGAAAGGAAAGTGTACAGTGCATAAAACCTATATAACAATGGCATGACTTACAGTGTGACCATGGTGCTTGGATTTTACCCATTTATTCACGGCTTGGTGGTCATCCCATTATCATGATAATCTCGCTGAAGCAGCAGCTGTTTTTTTAAAAATTTGTCATTTGTTATCAATATATGCTAGGGATTTAAAAAAGTTTGGGCTTACACGAAGTTTGACGGTCGTTTCTGTGAAAACTTCTATACACAATACGTGTAACAATGTCTGTGCACGTATTTAACAAAAATGTCAAAGTTCTCAGTATGTATTGTTAAATAAATCGTATATGATAATTATAAGTACACTCAAATGACAAATTGTGTGAAGATAGACTTAAAACGTTTTGACTTTACAGGAAATCGTGGATTATCATTTGCCGTTTCATCGTCATCACATTACAGTACTGAATCCTCTGACCCGCATGTTTTGAAAAAGCCAGTTCTGTCACAATTGAAAAAAGGTACTGGGGGAAGATCTAGTTTCAATGGAGTGGTCGCAACTGTTTTTGGAGCGTCTGGTTTCTTGGGAGGCTATCTCGTAAACAAACTAGGAATATGTGGCACTCAAGTAAAATCTCTATTTCTTGGTTGTTGTTGTTAAAATTATTGTTGTATAAAACCATTTTTTAATTTTATTATAGCTGGTTATTCCGTACCGAGGAGATGCATACTTTGTTAAAGATCTAAAACTAACGGGAGATCTTGGTCAAGTAAATTTCCAACCATTTCATTTGCAAGATGATGAGTCCATCAGAAAAGCTGTTAAATATTCAAATGTTGTAATCAACTTAATCGGCCGTGACTGGGAGACAAAAAATTTTAAATTTAATGACGTTCATGTTGAAGGTGCGAGAAGAATTGCTCGTATTAGTCGCGAAATGGGAGTTGAACGGCTTATTCATCTTTCTGCGCTCAATATTGATCCTTTACCTGCTGTATGATAACTTAAATAATTTGAAATGTTGTAATCACTTTATGAGTATTATTTTTTGTTTTATATACTTAGCCAATTTATTTATCAAAAGGATCAGGATTTTTAGCATCTAAACAGCTTGGTGAAAAGTTGGTACTTGACGAGTTCCCTGATGCTACTATATTCCGTCCATCAGATATATATGGACAAGGTGATAGGTTTCTAATGTGAGTAATAAATATAATATAAATAAAAAGAATGTTAATATTTATGTGATCTTTTTGTACAATAAATATTGTAAAATTGATATCAAATATTTATTTACTGATAATAAATAGAAAGTTTTTTGAACAATCTTAACATCATATTATTATGTTTCATGTACATCAGCACATATTACAATTTTTTTAATTAGTTCTTACTATTTTCACCAAATTATTAAAAAAGTTGTTACTTCAAAAATATAACAAATAATAGCCTCATATTTAAAATAGTTTGTTTAGATGTACTAAGCATATATTTTTTTAAACCTTGTTAAGATTTCAGTATTTTGGATGTTTTCTTATTTTTTAAGAAAATGATAAAATAAGCTGAATCCATTAAAAAATCCCATACTATCTTAACTTAGTATCAAAACTGAAATAACTTACTTAAGTATTGTTTTATTTGTGTATAGGATGTATACTCATGCATGGCGTCGAAGTCTTCAGCAAATGGTTTTGTGGAAGAAAGGAGAACAAACTGTTAAACAACCTGTAGCTGTTTCAGATGTAGCAACTGCCATTAAAAATGCTGTACTAGATCGTTCAACTGCAGGCAAAACATATCAAGCCGTTGGGTATGTCTAATAAATTTGTTTTATTAAAATTTATTTAAGTGCAGGTTTTTTCTTAAAAAATATTTATACATTTCTGTTCAAAAATATTTTGGAATATACTAAGAAACTTATAAAAAAAAGTGATTTAAAAATTATTTGATAATATATGGAAACTGATCATTCTAAGTTATTAAAGATTTGGAAAATAAAACTAGAAAATGTATAGATAAAATATAGTTCTAAGGTAACTAAAAAAGTAAATAAATAAATTGTTCAGTTATTTTAAATATTTGTTTAGGGAAATTTAATGTACCAGTATGCTAAAAAAAATTATTATATTTCTATAGACAATAATTTATTTATGACATTTAAATTCTTGCAGACCTACACCATATTTACTTGCTGATTTAGTAGATTGGATGTATGCTATCTGTCGCCGCACAAAAGAATTTGAGTACGACTTTAAAAGAACTGGATTTTTAGGAAATCCACAACATTTAGTCAAAATGTGGCTGACAGACAAAATATGTCCTAGTTGGCCCCCAGGCTTTGTCACTGCTGAACGTTTTGAAAGGGTATTTTGTAAAAAAATTTAATAAGTCGTTATAGTTAATATTTTATGCTATAATTTAATTCAACTATACTATATTTTCATTTTTAGGAATTTGTTAACGATTTCGTCGATGAAAGGTTGCCGACATTGGAAGACTTAGGTGTTGTACTGACGAAGACTGAGAAGCAGATACCATATGACCTAAAGTTCTTAAAAGCGTTCCAATATTACATTGATACAATCGGTGAAATTGAAAACCCACTCCCTCCACCACCATACGTACCACCCCCGAAATCAAACTTCTTACATACAAATTAGGTAAAAACAAAAGAAAAAATACACCATGCCGTTTTATATAATTATATATTTTTAATAAATACTTTGTTTGAACTTTATGCTTGTTTTATTTTCAAATCATAAATTTCACAAAAATTATAATATCAATATCCTAAATAGTAAATAATTTTATAATATAATAATTATACATTTATTTCTATATAGAATATAGTTACAAAAATTACCATTTAAAATTTAAGTCTAACTATGCCAGTCATAATCAGAAGACTAACATATAGGAATACTGACTAGGTATAATTTTCCAGCTTCAATAATTTAAAAGAAGTTGTCTTCGTTAATATTTTTTTTTTACATTTGTGCCTAACAATAAGCCTATTTCTATCTCATTGATAAAGACTTAAAATTACAATACATTCTATTATTACAAAGTCTAATTTGTCTTAATGGCTAGTATCACATTCGTTCTGAATCGTCGTTTAAATGTTTCAGAATCCATCTGAAGAACGTGTCTGCCGTATAGGCCCTAGATGTCTGTGCCACCAATCTGAGTCTAAAAACAAACAATAAAATGTATATTAGCAACAATATTTTAAATAACAACTATTAGACACACGATTTTCTCGATTTGAAACAGAAAATATGTACATTTTAATTTCTTGTTTTGTTATTATATAAATATTAGTATTATCAATATACAACTTAATATTATGTTTGTATAAATTTATTTCAAATTATTTTTGATATACACAATTATATGCAGATAAAAATTATTTGTTAAACATGTCTTTAAAATAAAGCAATAGAAACGCTTCTAGTGTTTTTAACCGAAATTAACACAAACAAAACTTATAAAAAAAAATTAATTTTAACAACGGTATTTCAATTTTTAAAGATATCCGCCAAAAATATCCGAAGCTCTCCCCAGGCAAAGGTTTTTAAAAAAAATATTACTATTGATTGGTCGTATGTTAGTAAAGCAAGCAAATTAGCCGATGTTAAGTTAGTTTGCCATACAACATACAATTGGCAAAAAAAAAAAAATGTAAAGAGAGAATATCTGTTGTTTTTACCGAATAGATTTCCAGTACGTGAACCAAGCACGTTATACAACAGTCTTATGAATTTGTTACTATCATTATACATAAATATATTATATGTTTTGAGTGTGTATCGGCCATCAAACTATTGTAGTCGTACATTAATACTGGACAGTATCGTCGACGGTTACAACTCTAGGTGCAGTGGACTCTGTATTAGATAGAAAAAAATAGCCTTTAATGACTCTTCTCTCTTTTTATTACTAATATGGTAATGAGTGAAAATTAAAATTTGTCGAGGTTTCAAATCAACCCCTTCAATTATTATTAGTAATCGGCGTGGACGGCTTACTTGGGTACTCACCGAACGACGTGGATCGGTTATTGGAGAAGGCGGCTGGTTGTGCCGGTAACGCTGGAGTTAATTCGTCCGGCGTCGAGGACCGGCTATGAGACTCGAATGTAACCGCCGCCACTGCTGCAACGTCAGGTATCTATTCAAATAAAAATGGCTGTTAATTATTATCATTAAAACTCAACATAATTATTGTTGATCATAAGAATTATAGTTTAGAAACCATAGGTAGGCGCACAAAGCCTTACTGATTAAGCGTTGGCAATGAACGAGTTCGGAGTTCTCATAGCTCTTTTGAAATGTTAAGCTTAGTTAAACCGACTACCATATAAGTACTATTAAAGAGTCTACTTAGTACAGTTTATGTCTATAAAGATAAAAAAACTACACCAATAGGCCATAAATCATAGTGACTAGCGTATTAAAAGGGAAAAAACCTCTTACAAATGATAAAGGCATTGGTGTTTTTAAGGGTATTGCTACGTTGGTGATTTTACTACATTATATCGAGTAAAAGAGCTACAGTTAAAAACACAAATGAAAAACTAATTTGTTGTGCAACAATAATAGATAATTCATTTGATATTTCAACGAACTTTCAACATGATTCGTTTGAAAATAACCATTTAAAATAATTTCCTAAAAGGCGTTTTTAATTATAAACCTCTTCCAAAGAATATAAAAATCAATTTAAATTTGTATAAAATTTAGCCTCTAGACTCTAACAAAACATTTGCGTTTTATATAACTTACAAACATTGTAAGCTACACATTGGATACTATAGCCAAATTTGTATTTTTTCAAATCGAACAAAATTTTAAGTAACGATGTATGTTGTAGACTAGAGATATAAACGACAGTGATGAAGCATAGGTGCAATAGAAAAATGTCTTTTTAGTTTTTCCTATGAAATATTATATTTTAATTAAAAATCAGAATTTTCAATGTAATATGTAATAATTTTTATGTAATAGTATATACTGTATATTATATTATACGACAACTAGTGTGCGTCTTTGCTGTTATTTAAGAGGCCTGTCTTTCGGGGTCAAAAACACAACATTTCAAATGTGTGGGACCTCATCCCAGAATATTTTTTAACTCGTATCTCAAGTGTTGAAAAATTATCGAAAAACGAAATAAAAGTTAGGACAAAAGTACCCAGCTGTATTTTGATTTGTTTACACCATCCTACTTCAAACCGTATTCGGCGCCCGTGAATAATAATAATATTAATAAATAGTAATGCGCCAGTGTTGTACAATTTACCGTTCTCGAGTTTTGTGCCGTATCCATGAAGCTTCGACTTCTCGAGTACTGGTACACGTCGAAATCGTTGGTGGCCTCCTCTACGTCCACATGCAGGAAACTCTCTTGGCTGCCGGTGAACTGAAAAAACAAACTTAAGTTTAAAAAAATTTCACTAATAATAATGTCGGCAATAACGCTTGACGACATTTGAATAATAAAAAAAAAACCAGCAATATGTTCGTTATGGATAATTTTCAAATCCGAGGTAGACCGTTGACCAGTGGAGTAATAAGCTTTAAAAATCGTATGTGACTTGGGCCCTATAATGTTTAAAGTACAATTAAAAACTTTTTTTCACTAATTTACACGGGAAAAAGGCTACAGATAACTGAGGGGTAATTAGCTTACCTAGTCCCTATCTCTATCTAAATTCGCAAATGTTGAGATTTCTAATAGAAAACAAACGAATTTTAAATGTATGGAATAAGTAATTAAACTAGTTAGGTATGCATTTGTGGAAACCCACTTAAACTTGCATACATTTTCAGAAACAACCACAGGGCAAGTTTTATAGCCCGGTTATAGGTTTTATCCACGTTATCGGTTATAAGTATTTTATAGTTGGGTAGTGTGGGTACTTTAATATGAAATAATATAGCTCTGACTTAAATATAAATATCTTCAGCGCTAACTTATTGTCGTCAGGTGAAATAATTGGGGGGGGGGATACCATCCAGAAATCCATTTTACCACGTTTAGGTCACGGCCGACTTAACTACTAAGCACTTCTAATTGGATTATGGCAGTAATTATTGTATAGCTGTATGTCGGGCAATATTTAACCTCTTTAAACAACGCTATTATAGACGGGTAACTATTTCGGTCAAATTTGTTTGCTCTTTATACATTGGAGCTATACTCGAAGAGAGGGGAGAATGAAATTAATAGTGTGAAATGATAATTTGTTTTCAAACGTTATTATGGTGTAGAGTTGAGGATATATATATTTTTTAAATAGCTTCGGTAAGTTTTTCATAGATAACACAGCGTAAGACCCCCTGTAAAAGTTTATGTTAATAAAAATTAACCTACAAAATGCGCAATTATCTGTTTTTATTATGTCGTTAATCTAAAATTAACTCAAAATCCTAGCGAAACGACGACGGTCTCTTCGGTGTGGTGAATACTGGATAGTAGTTGCGCTTACCACCAATATTCGATCACATGTTTAGCTTGGTACATTATAGTAAAATGTATTGGTTTTTTTTTTCAGCGAGCACTATGTATATTTAATCATGTTATCTAAGATATATTTTCTTTTATGCTTTGGAACAACTGTTCTAGGATCGACTGAAAAAACATTTTTGTTTATATACAATTAGTAGGCGAATGGATAATATTATAATAATATTACACCAGACATTAATTCAACATCTACATAATATACATACATCAGTACGAGGTGCACTCAGACAGCAGACTACAGTGGAATACGTTTTGTAGCCAACTGACGCCGCACTCAGCCGTAGTGCAAGTATAAGCTCGAGTATCGATTAAAGTTTTTCATTTTTTTTTTTCGCTATGACCGGGAAAAATGTAGGTATACCTAGGCGTTATTTATGTCCATAAAAATAAGTGGAAATGTCCACGCTCAGGGTTTAATTGCTATACAACAGGGATGGCCACTAACCTTAATTGAAAAGACAGCTATAATAATATATGTATTATAAATATAACTAATGCCAGGCAAAAATCAAAACGGAAATGAGACTTGAGCTGATTAACGAAAGCCAGTTTCTTACGCCACTCTATTTGTTAAAAGAAAACAATTAAACACTGATGAGTGATGACCAACTCCAACTGTTGTTTTTTTTTTTAATTAATCAGCTGTTACATAATTTGAGGAAATAATAATATTTTTTAAGTCTATCAATATTATATAATTCCATCCAAAGTAGGCACCTACCGGCTACGTGTACGTAGTGTTTTAGGCTCGACTGGATTCAAGGGAAGTCTGTGCAAGAGTTGAATAAATTGTACTAAATGTTCCGGAAAGACTATAATATTGTAATGCTTAGATTACATGATATTTGATACTTTATTTAGTCATCAAATAATGAATTATACATATTCGATAACACACAATATGCAACATTCTCGTTTGAGGGTTAATTGTTAGTTTGAACGTTGATCGTTATTCAAATGCAGTTATCACTTATCCATGAAGCTAATATTATGTAAAATATCATAATACAAATTGAAAATATTATAATAATGTTTTTGATGGAAACAATATTATGATAAAAGAGCCAAGTCATTTTTTTTTTTTTTAAATCACTTTATCGGATATGCAGACATTTTTCTTTGTTTTGGTTAGTGTGTGTACTAAGCACAATGCCGTTGTTAATGTTATTTTCATTTCTAAATTATTATTCAATTATACGTACAATGTAACCCATTGAAAGTATAGTATCTAGAAAATATCTATTAAAAATTGAAAGTTAAATAGTGATGAATAGACGGATTTTTTTTCTTCAGATAAATTACATAATATTATGTAAAGTACCTATTATTATCGTCGTAGTTATTGAACTGCATTATTATTTTATAGAATTATCTATAACGGCAAAAGTCCTGCAGGACTAGAAACGGTCATTATAGTAAAAATGATTTTAATAGGTTGAATTTAAACATGCCGTGCCGATAGAAAGTAATAAGTATTGTAATTATTACTCATAATTAAAATATAAACGTTGCAACTGTGTTAGGCGGTGTTTTTATGACACTACATAGTTTGGCGCTGGCCTCGGGGATTGTTGAAGGATGTAACTAATTCATTCTGACTTGACAGTAGAGTAGATGTTAGGTTATAACCGATAAATAATAAATTCATTTTTAAGATAAGTGTACGACTCCGGGCATCACTGCGAGCACTACCGACGTCGTTTCTAATAAATGTTTTATAATATTATTACTAAAGACAACTCACGGCGGATAATATATATTATTCATAAGTCATAACGCATTAAAACGATAAATTATGGAAAAAGGAACACACTTAAAATTACGAGCGTCTTACGGTCATTATAGCGAGTATAGTTAGGGGGGGGGGGTGAAAGATAATAGTTTTTTATATTTTCAAAATATTATCTTTTCAAAGCTCGTAATAGCGCGTTTGCAGTACACGTTGTATTAATAAAACGATTAACGTCGACCTTCGTCCTTCAAGAAGGATTTCCATAGAATCGATTATTATTATTATTATTGGGGTTATACGACGAATTTCATTATCCGAATTGTTCAAAAACACGGTCCTGAAGGGCGTTAATTATTATACGGTTGACGTTGGTTAACCGAACGGAGTATGGTTATTTTTGAAATTGATATTATTAAAAAAAAAATAAAAAAATTGTCACCTCCGCCGTTCAAAGGTCTTCGATTATAAACCTACAATATTGACCGGATTTGTGCTACTTTACATGTAGATATTCTAGATTTTTCTCACCAGAAACCCGTAGTGTTTGAGAATGTCCATCTTGCACATGGGACACGTTCGGTGCTCCAACAGCCATGGGTCAACGCAGCCCTTGTGAAATTCGTGTCGACACGGCAGTATTCGCACCACTTCGGACGGTTTGTACGGTTCAATGCAAACGGCACAACAGTCGCCGTCTCCAATGATTTCCTGCAACACAACGTACACTATTATGTTAACACGGCCGTTTTCAACGTGTCGTCAAAGTAGGTTGAAGATAATTGGCGATTTTTATTATGTATAAAGACAGTTTTCCAATCGTCTACCAGACTTTCCCCGTATAGATGTTTATCAAAATAATTATAGATTACCGGACTCAACTCGTCTTCGTACTTTGCTCAAAAACACCCACCCAGGTATATTGGCCGTGTGTTAAATTTTCACAAAACTCTTCATACGCCAAACTGTAATTTTCGTTGTTATACATAGCTCAGTTTGTCTAACTCAGTAACTCCACATTTAGCTGTTAAATAAAAATCAACGATTTAACTTGGTCCTTTGTTCCAGATAGCCTTCACTAGATATCTAATGTTCTAAACAACACACACGCTTCACACCCCTAACGGCACCTCACGCACAGTATGTACATGTCGCCTCCCTTTATTTCATCACGCACGTTATGACTTATGACGAGTTATCATTGATAATGTAATATATATATATATATATTAAATGATTTGTTATAATTATTTTGATCTACTACCGATAAGTGACGAGCAAACATGAATTATAATTTATCAAATCATAATTCGCACAGTCGACCGAATTGAAGAGAATATTTTTTAAAATTATATAAGTAATATAAAGCTTCAGAAGTAAATAACAATATACGGTCGACTTTGACCGGATTTCATTTAACGTGAATAGCTTGTGTATCAAATCTATGCGGCTATTCATCAACTAATGTGGCCCCTCTAGAACGTTCTCGCTGCTTATATGAAAAACATAATGTGACACTTTTAGAATGTTCCCACTGCTTATACGGAAAGCTTAACTGAAAGGAAACGGGCTACAATAGATAAGTGCCAGAAGACGGCGATTTCAGACAATAGCACACACACTCGTGATTGATGCCGGGATTCAAGTTTAAGGCAAATGAAACGTGTGATAAACGACAAATTACTGACCTAATCTCTACTTGGTTTGTTTTCAAACAAGTTAAAACCGAATAATCTGGTACAGTCGACCGACTCGTTAAAAAAATATACTACTACGCCAAAAAACGACGATTTTCATTATTATGTAATATAGGTTGAAGCGGTATTTATTAATTTTTTTATTGCACAACGTTTATCGAGTGACGAGTTTTGACCACGGAAAATTGTCAAATCTGTTATTAAGGTTAAAAGTGTTACCCTTTTTTTTCTTATCATTAGATAGCGAATTTTCGAACGGCGGCTCGAGAAATGGGTAAAAAAAATTCTCGCTCTGATTCTCACTAGATTTTTCACACTGTTGATGATTTGGGGAATTGAGATTTTGAGAAACGTTTGGCAACAGACCAACAAACGATTGCAACGAAAATTTTCGCTACCAATACGGTAAAGGCGTGGGTTTCATACATTTGTTTTTTACCTTTAATGTTTAATTTTGTACATTTTTTGGAGAAAAAAAATCGGGTCATCGCGCTGCTAATTCAAAATATAATAATAATAAAATAATTTATACATCATTTGATCAATATTGCCGAGTGCAACAACTGTCAGTTAAGGTTAATGAATCAAAACATTTTTTAGTGATTCATTTAGTGACTGGTCCATTCAATTTTAACAAACCGTTAAATTGATCAATTTCTGTTTTGTGCAACTCGAGACACGACTGGTTATAATTTAGAAACGTGACGTTCGCGCGACGGTCAATGCACTATAATATTGTTCAATATTATCACAACATGCAGTAATATCTTTGAGAGAAACATTATATAGAAATAAACAATATCCATATAAACGCTACAGACGGGGCCGTCGTAAACAGTTAGGATTTGACACACATACCGGTAAATCACTATTGTACTATTTGTAATTTTTTTTACGGTTGATTATATTATATATTTTTTTTACAGTCAAAACACAATAACATTATACTGTTTCGATCTCACGTTTTCCATTAAACGGTAGAGACGCTAGTGTCGAGAGCCAACAGGACGTCACATTATGTTAAAACATTTCGTTAGTCCAAATAATAGAATAAACTCATATTGACAAGATAAAGAGAAATCCTCTAACAACGTATTGTTTTATCTGTTTTCTTCGTATAAACTTGTTAAAAAAATATATTCGTTTTTATGAGAAATGCGGAGTGTAATATTCGTTTACATGAAGTCCATTTTTGTTGGAATTATTATTTTTTATTAATATTCACACATTGAGAATTTTTCGATAACGTCAATAAACTTTGATTAGGTTTTTGGATGTATTTAATATTTATTACACATACTATTATATTCTAAGTAAAATAATTATGTACATATAATATATCTAATTAGTCAAGTCTTAACCTAAAAATAAATTAAATTAAAGATGTAAATGGTGATTTACACTATTCAAATGTTTCTGAAACTACAGTAAAATATTGTAACTATACTACATAAATCGAATTACTCTACCTCCCTATCTCCACTATGAGTTAATTATATATATTCTATAAAATTTGTTTTCAGTGCAATTGTAATAAATATGATTTTAAAACGCAAACCGTACAAATATTTATGGCGTTATTTTAAATAGACAACTTTCAAAATAGTTTTTATTGTTTTATATATTTATCTTTACCAGCTAATATTGAACAGATAAAAATTGTTAAATCAGCCAATTTCCTAAACTACTAAACCCACGAAAACTAAAGATTTTTATGGCTGATCCAAAACAAAGAGAGCACGTGTTGTTTTTTTATTTTGTACATATCTTTTACGGTCAATTAACTTTAAGAAAACAAATGAATTGGTAATGATTTGTTTTTCCGTCAAATGCAACGAACGCAACGCACTTGTATGCAAAAACGTAAAAGTAGGTTCAAACTACAACAAATGCACAACGCCATAACAAGACGAGGGCGGACTTGCGAATAAAATTGTATTCTATACATGATTAACGCAAGCACACGCAAATAGCACAACCGAATAATATCGTCCAAGGTCTTCGGTGAATTTTGTGAAAAAGTCAATAAACCTCGTCGCTTGATATTTATGTTGCAATTGAAACCCCCGAAATGTACGTGTGTAAACAGTATTACGGTAGAGCAGATATAAAGGTCGGTGGGACAAGGCCGCCAAACGCAATTTAAGCAGTTTGCAAGTAAAATAATACGCGCGACATTAGCTTTACTTTGTTCTGTTTACCTTGTCGTCCATCTTGATGTGCTTTGTGGGTATCTTGGACAGTGCTTTTTTGGCTGCGTTACACAATCGCCTCTGAAAATTATAAAACAAAACAACTCTCGTTAAATAAATTATAATTAATCTGTCGAAAACGGCTTAATTAACACCGTCAAACGCACATATTAGGTTTAGTATAATTTACAAAGGCATTAAAAGAATTATATATCATTCACCAAAAATATCATAGACAGTAAAATATACAATTAATGTTTCAAACATATTTTTTGGCTGTAAACAATTGTGCTATAATTAAATAATATTAACATTTACTTTGTGCTGTAAGGATAGACGTTTTAGATTAGGTAATTCTTTACTTATACGATTCGGCAAACGAAATATAATAACAGTAACGCCGAGCAATTCCGCACTTGGATATTTTTAAGCCCGGGACAACCCTCCCTAAAAACAAAATCGACGGTTTATAAAATAGCTACCCCTCGATCATACGCGTGAATTTTTATAAATAATTTTTGTTGAGAAAACATAATGAACTAAACGCTTAAAAGTGTGAGCGCTTGAGCTTAACCCCCGAATACGGTTCTATCGGTTTTTTTCAAACCAACGGAAACAACCTTTATTATTTGTAAAATCAAAACAAATTTTTAATTATATACTTTTTTTAATATTCAATTCGTTATTTTAGTAGTTGAAGTACCTTCGCCTAGGGCGGTTTCGGGGCGTTCGGAAATTATTAGATTTATATTATTTATATTATATATATACAAGATCCCACCTCATAAATTTCAAGGCTCTTAATTTCTTCTGTCCTCACTAATGCTTTGCTAGCCAAGTGGTTATCCCTAGTCAGTTATCAATGGTTCCACCAATTGGAGTTACCCCATCAATATATTTCTTCCTTTTCAAGACTATGACTAGGGTCATAATCTTTTATCTGCCTTTGCTTTTAATAAAATCCTTCTCTTTAATTTCCTAGCAGCCCACGGGATTCCCAATCCTGATCCTTTTAATACCTTTAATTTTTGCTCGATTCCAATTATGACTGCTATTATTTCTTTTCTTCCGAGTGCTAGTTGCATTATTTTGATTCTTTTTTTTAAATTTTTATACATAAATTACAATACTATTATATCTTCCATAATTCATCTTACACTAATTATTAACTTCCACTTTTATATTATAAAATATTCGGCTATTATGTAATTCTACCTAGTAAATTCTATACATTTAATTCGGGACATTATTATATAATTAAAGACGAACAATTTTTTTTTATTGTTGTTCTTAAGCTTGAGTTCAATGGACAACGGAGATTATACAATACACCAAACGTATAAACTTTTAACTATAATAAAATAGTTCTATAGAAGAATTTTGAATAGTATTCATAGAATTTATAATATTGTTAGGTATAATTAGTTATTTTCATCGTTTGATAACGCAGTTGTTCACCGCCGTTGTGTGTTTTAATGTCGACCGGTCGCGTGTCATAGACATGGCCGCCGTCTATGCATGTGTATTTGTCTACTTTCACTTCCTCATTTCTCTGCCTAGGTATGAACCACACACACGGCCGTTTCTTTCTTCACACACTTCAGTTTACTTTTTTACACACACATCCAAGGTACTAAAAAAAACATTGACACACGGGCGTTGCACAATGTTTACATTATGACCGCTTAGAAATCGTCTTTCGTTTTATTTGTTTTTTTTTTTTTTTATTACTAGCGACTCTTCTAAACTCTGAAGTATTGTGTGTCCATCGAGATTACATTAGGCCGATATTACAAAATTTGGAAAGTCAATAATTCGTTGTAATTTATTCCATTCTATATTATAAAGGTAAACTGCATGCCTCATTATGTATAACACGTTAAATTGCACTACAGTTAACACTCCGAGCGTTAGGTATAATAATAACAAGATGCAACATAGCCTCGTGTGTTTTCCTAACTTATTTAATATAAAAATTAAGAAAACGTATTCGTTAAAAGCTATTGACCACGATACCTATGACTAACTGGGTAACTTTAATAATGCACATTTATGCCAATTCTTTTCAATTAATAGGCGGAAGCGGTGTCATTTATATTTTTGTGGTGGGACCCCTTTAAATACCCACTCAGAATTTCATAACAGGTGAAATACTACGCCAGTACTGGAATAGTGCAAGCGCACTACTGACGTTAATACAGGCATAAGTCTATGATAACAACAGTATTTTGTACTGAACAATCCCTCTAGAACTTGGCTGTCTACTGACCCAATATTGTTAATAATATATTGACTTATTTAGTAATAAATCAGAAATTCGTCAACGCCAAATTGTAGCCAGTATTATGGTTAAACGGGAATACTATGGGTTGGTAGCTGTTATTGTCAAAATTTACACCCGTTAGCGTAAAGCAAAAATGTCTTAATGGAATAAATAGACTGCCATTAGCTCTGAATTCGCCTGAAACGTATTTGCATTAAAGTAAATATGTTTGTGGACAGGATTTTTATTTCATAATGATTATAAGAAAAAAGGTTATAAAGCTGTTGTAGAGTGTACAGGTAAACGATAACGCACGCACACAAAACACTTCAGTTTTATTTTTGAAAAACCCTTAAGAGGATGTACTACACCTAGGTTTAACAGGTTAGGTTTTCTTATACAATTATTACTGTATTACTAGCACGCGCGCTAGAACAGATTGACACGGACATATGCCATTCAACAACAGATATAAACGAAACGGCTCACGGCTTTATTCTACTTAACGGGCTTTTTCGACAAACGTGAAACTACCGACTTAAATGTCGACGGAAAATAAATATCGATTGTTTTACAGGTTCGCCTCCCCCCCTCCCCAGTTAATTCACAAAAATATCATACAATTTTTTTGGGAACTGCTCCGGTTACTAAATAGCTCTTCATTTAAAACACAAAAAAATATGGTATATTATTACGGTTATAGTAAACCGATTGGAAATATTCTAGTTGGATCTACTATAATATGGTTGCGTCGACTACATTATTTTAGTTAGAAATACCAAACTAGCCTAGTTGTTTTTTGAGTAGATGGATTAACTAAACATTTAGTTGGGTTAACTATACTTTTTTTTTGTTAAATGCCGATATTTAAACACAGGCGGCTGTGTCGGGATGCGAACGCCGGCGGCTGCGTTTTGTTTATTTTTACAACCCAATATTATAAATCCAACCATAATGTTATATAGTTGATCCAACTATATATAGTTAACTATTTCAGTGTATCACTCCCAACTAAAAATGTATTGTATGCCTATATTAACCATAAATTATAGTTGTTCCAACTACATAGTTTTTTCCAGGCGCGGATCCAGCTTGTGTTAACGGGAGGGGCGGTTTAGTAATGCATTTATAAGTATATATATATATATATATATACAACGTATCCAATAAGACATTAGGACCTATTGAAGTATTGAACCCTGCGGTCAATATGAACGGCACGGGTTGTGCAGCTAGCGATAGGTACAAGATAATATTTGTAGACCAAACAATATAAAATCAGATTCTATTTTTGACAAAAAAAAAAGAAGACACATGGCAGTCCTCGGCCGCCGGTGTGAATATTAGTCTGCGTTCACTCTGATAGAGATTTTATTTGTAATATTACATAAAATTGATTTATGAACAATAAAAAACAAAAGTTTTGCCCCAAAATTAAAATAGCAAATACTATGATATAGCCAACAAGGGGGGCGGCCGCCCCTACCGCCCCCCCTTGAATCCGCGCCTGGTTTTTTCCCGTGTACTTATGGTAACCGGCTAATTTTCGACCACGTTACATATTATATACACAATAATTTATCATTTCCACGCACCGGTAGGTAGCCATTGCGGAGGTGAGGTATTAAATAACCATGGTAGTTTGTGTGCCGAGTACGTAACACATATCACCGAGCTAATTCATATTGTATTAAAGTGGCGACGTGTACTTACCGACAGCTGATCTTTGGCGTGTATATACCGGAACCTTTGGATGTAGTAAAACACGAGCCACGCTAGAGATATGACCATCAGCACGATGAACGAAATGCTCACGAACAGCACGGACGTTCTGCGGATCAAAAAAAAAACAATAATAAAATTAATAAAATAGCTGGACGATACGTTTTGGTTATCGGTAAGCGCATAATGTAATGACAATACAATAATACGAGCGTTAAAAATGGCGAAAAAACTCAATCAAACAAGGCGGTAGTATAGTTTGAGATTGACGTTTGGAAATATGGTTTCCGTCAATTCGTTGCTATCGCTCACTAAACAGTTATATTATATTCTTCAAAATAATATTTATCATACATAGCAGCTTGCACGGTAGAACTGTGTTCAACAACCGCGGTTTGCGAGAAATACAATTTCACGGATATTAAAAAAACAAAAATATCTATATATATATATATAAAATATAAATATACAATTTCCGAGGCATCGCCGTGCTCAGAGTTTTGACGTTCTAACGTTATGGCGACGATAATAAATGATAAAGCGGTACACCTTATAGACGCGCAGACTTCGGTTCCTGTCCAATATGCAATGCACTCCAAAAACGTACACAAGGAAGTCCATCGTAAATCAAAGAGCCGTGGCGAAAACCGCGCACACCGATGTAACTTCAAATGATCAAGTTGTAAACTTCCGTGCACGTACGTTGTCCGTATTGTTTTCGATGAAAAAAAATTATGAGTGTCAAGCTTACCGACGCTGTTTACCATATAAGTTATAAGCTCTACATAATATATTGTAACTTTACATCGCACGCTGATTGTTAATGAATAATGATTTATCGACGTTACATTATGACTGCACGAACCGAAGAAACGAACGAACAAAATAGGCACACGCCTACACTATAATATTGTTATTATATTTTATTTTTGTATTGAGCCATCAAGCATTCACCGCGCTGCAATTGTGTACAAAGATTCATTTAGGTTTTAAGACATTGTCATCAACATAAGCCCTCCGTTTAGGTTTATTCGAGCGGTAAACTTTATTTCCGATTACACGCGCTGACCGATCGCAAACGTTGAAATTTGATTCGAATGCAAAGCGCTTTTAGTGGTTCAAGTTTCCCAAAGTAGAAACTGAACACTCGCCGAAAGAGACGGTTGAAATACTAAACGACTAGCAGCTGATTTTCATCTAAACCGTAATCTTTTGAATTCGCATAAAACATTTAAAGGTCTATGTTGCATTTTCTTTGCATGTTTATTATATTGACAATTTAACTCTATTCACATAATTTCGTTGACGGTTGTAATAATTTTTACGTCTACTAGACATTACATTTGACTTGAAAATATTAGTTTTATTTAAGGGGATTGCACGAAGTCTGTTTTTTTACGTTTAAAATCAAAAAGTCAGAGAAAATTTCGTCTACTTAGGATAGTCCGATTTCAATTCTGTAAAGATATACGAGTTCTTTGGCAACTATACTAAATTATGTCTGAAACATATTTTTGAAATTTTGCTTTTAGTAAAAAAATTGGGTTTTAATATTGAAAAATTGCAAATTAAATTTATTAAATTTCAAGGAACTGGCATTTTTAAATGAAAATCGGCTTCCTACATAATAATATAGTAAAGTGACCAAAGAACTCAAATCTCTTTACGGAATTGAACTTGACTATCCTATGTAGTCGACATTTTGTCTGGCTTTTTGATCTAAACTAAAACAAAATGGCTTTTACTCATAGGAAAAATTATTTAAATTACAAATTATACCTTAAAGCTTATACAATTTAACCGGTAAATTAATTGACATAGTCGAAATTGATTAAAACCTCTTTTTACTTAAATATTGCCTATACAAAACTCCTTAAAAACAGAAGGCGTGCAATCCCCTTAAGGTAAATATTCCATACTCGAGAGCGATTTAGACGATACGACACAAGTTTAGAAGATAATAAATAGCCAAACGCGGGATTAGAACAAATTGTAATTCTTTTTCTTCGCACGTTTTAAGGCTGTATTTCCTTAGCGTCCGAGGTTTCGACATATTGCCTAACTATAATTAAAAATGAATTGTAGTATTATTGTTTGTTGTATTAAGCAACCCACCGACGCTTCGCACCGCACTTCGGAACTCATAATCGACACGTGGTTTGCGTACGAGTACATGATTTGAATAATCGTATTATTCTCGAGCTGAGGTCACCGCCAATAGCAGTTAAATACATAATTATAATATTATTGCATCTACAGTTTACATTGATGATTGTTGCCGACATCGGATAACATTGATTCTGCAACGACTATGGTTTTGTTCGTTACATACACACTTGCTACAAAATAAGTTGATACATACAGTATAGTGGCGCCGAACATTATAAATATATATATATATATAATTCAAGTAGTTTATATGAACTGCCTTATAAAGTAGTTGGGTGGGTGCGGACCTGTAATAATGTTATAATGTGTGATACATAAAAGTTATGTTATTGATTAATATGTACACCAACAACAATTAATAATAATAGTATGCTTTCAATATTGGATTTGGGACAAGGAGGAGACTGGATGGGTGGACACTGAGGTGGGTACTACAGCTATATAATTATTTAAACTTTCTGCCTTATTAATTAATAAAAACTGCTTAACATATTAGTTTGTCGTTATCCTTGTTCTGTGCACAATCTAATCGTGTCGTGACTTCAGAAGTGAACTCTTCCTGTTTGGTAACTAAGTTGGTAAACAAATAAACTAACAGATTTAGAAATCATCTGAATGCGTGCACGGTCGATAGCCCAAAACTATCATTACTATCAGCTGTAGTATAATATACGATTGTAGGTGAGTTGCGGTCCGTATCCTAGGATACATTTTTGAAAATATCGAATCCTATATACAGGATGATTTTTTAAAATAACATTTATATAATTACATTTTTTTTTTTTTTAATAAATATTAATCAATATTTTAAATTATGTGATCTCGTTACTTTTAAAGTTATTAGAGTGTAAAGTTTGGAGGAAGGAGAAGTGCGGCTGTATAATGCGCATAGATAAAATGTATACTACATCTCAGTCTTCCCGTCCTTGGTTTTAATCTATAATAACAATCAAAATAATTATCCAAGACTGGTTATAGACCAGTCAACATTTTTAGTAAGTTTTAAATTTTTACCAAACCAGTAATGTGAAAAAACTAAAAAAATAATAACAACGATAGAACCGCTCATCAGTCAATAACATAGCAATGCACTGCATTGTACTAAATCATTGAGCACGGGCGTTCTAGGAAGCGATTGGTAATAACTAATATATTATTATACGACGGGTGTTTATCAGAAACCGATAGATTGTTTGGGTTAGGTCAGGTTAAAAAACGAAACTCAAAGGCCGGTCACAATTACAGTTGTTACTTGTGTATAATAGCGGAACGCTGCATGTATGACTACTGACGCCATAGACTAGTGCACTATTCTGTTCATACCACACTACATTATGTACCGTGATGACTAATGCAAATATATACAAAAGTAATTTTGAGGGTGATTATTCAATAATGACAAACAACAAACAATAATAATTAAGTTACATATCTGGACATATTTAATTACGTGACTATTTTCGGGATAGGCGTAACTATACGTTAACGTTTTGACTAAATAATTGTCTTTTTTTAATCATAATACAACTGAAAAATAGCCAAAATGTGGCTGTGATATCCTGCAAGTGCTACACTTTAAGACGTAAATTTCCGCCAACAATGAAAAAAGCTTTCAATCATAAATAGTTTTTGTAGTTAGAGAAAATAAGTTTAATGATTTATAGTTAATATATCTACATCTATAGTCTAAGCTGGTTCAGTAATTCTAAAAATTTCATATTTTTTAAAACTATTAATTACATTAACTATACATTTTAATTTTCTTAACGCTCCGTAAAAAGAAACTTGTACTAGGGCGGAGACATAAGAGGAGTAAATGTCTGAATACCGCTATGTCTTGTGCAAAATTATAAGTTTCTTAGTAGAAAAAAAAGTAATTGAAAAAGTTTTATTAATCATATTAGTGAAAGAAAATGTGTATGGAAAATTTTCCAGTAGTTTCTTAAAATTTTCAAGTGGTTTACCAAGTTTGCTCGAGTAGAGAATTATTATTATTATTTTTATATAATTATTATATAATTTTCTTGACAAAACTTTACACTTAACTCAACGCATATTCTGCAAAACGTATTCAATATAAAGTTTGTATAAAAGTTCGCGTATTTTACTAAATAAATTATAAGCCAATACATTTTTTTTCGACCAAGGTAACAGCACTATAGGGTATAAAATATAAATTATTGAACGTTAAGCCATAATTTATTTATTTCCCATAAAAAATAACAATACTAATTGTTGTTATTGGTCGATCAACACCAAGGAGAAGTTTAGTGATGTTATTATATTCACTCTTTTAAGATTACCGTAAATCTTAGGCTATATATTTTTATTGTACAGCGAGTGCAGTCGTCTCAGCCGTCTGTCATAATATATGTTTATCTTGACATAATAATACGATCAACGTTATCGACATAACTATCGTGTTGTAAATTTGTCAACGTTTGCATTTAGTGGGAAACGTTAAGTAACATTTACTCATTAAAATAATTATCAGCGTATACTCGTGCGCGGTGATCAATCACACATGACAACGTGTAATAATCACTGTGTCGTTAGTGCGTTCATACTTCATATTATACTGTGAATACTGCTAATGATCAGCGAAAGTTCAAAAGAAAATCTACGTATAGGAACAAAATGACTGCGTTGAGCTATAATAATAAATCAGGAAATTAATCGAACAGTAAATTGAGTAAAAAACAGTAAAAAATCGAACAACAACAACATCAATAATAATAATATAATAAATATAGGCACTGTAGCGCCGAGAATTAAAAAAAAAAAAAAACAAAACATGACGAAATGGTTAAACAAATGCATCTCGAGTGTGTTTATTCGACCGACAGTATAGTTCTTATACTGCTTGAGTATTATTTAAGGCGCCTAGCTTTCGGGTTTGCGTAGACACGCAGTATTTGTCCGGAAAGTATTTTACTCTTT